AATCAGAATTATCAATAATTGGTTAAAATTAGGCTGAAGGTTGATTATGTAAAAACAGTTTATAGTCATAATTAGTTGAAAACAAGTTACCAATGAAATTTAGGTTTGCAAAAAATATTCTTTTTTGACGGAGTTTTTAGTTCCTGATTTGCATATAGCAATTATCATGCTCAATATCTGAAGCGAACGGACGTGTGTTTCTAGCGTGGATTTAATTTGTAAATAACAAGAGTAGTATTAAAACTTTAATAAAATTTTTATTTGACTAACATAATAATATGGATTTAGAAAGTATTGAGAAATTTGTTGCAGATTTACTTGAAAAACAAAGCAATGCAAACTTAGATGAAACCAAAAAGCTTTTGAAAAAACAAGAGAAAAGCTTTGCGTCTTTAACAGCTGCGAACTTAAAAATGTTCACTGAGAGACTTGACAAGTACGAAAAAGAAAATATAAATAACCTAATAAAAATAAATAAATTCGAAAATGATTTAAAACAAACAAATAAAAAAGTTGTCTCCTTAGAAAATGATTTACTTGAAATTAAAAAATTTATTCAAACCAATGACGATATTGCTTCAGAAAAGTTTGAACTTGTGAAATCAAAAACAAAAGAGATAAGTTCAAGGCTAAAAGACAACAGCGAGATATTAAAAGTAAAAAGTAAACTTAGAGAAATAGAAGATAGATCCAGAAGAAACAATCTGAGAGTCGATGGTTTAAAGGAAAGCAAAAATGAAAGTTGGAGTGATAGTGAGGCTAAAGTGTTAAAATTATTTGAAGAAACTCTTGGGTTGAAAGATATAAAAATAGAAAGGGCACATAGAACTGGTTCTAGAGACAGTAAAAAAGTCAGATCCATAGTTTTGAAATTGCTCAATTATAAAGACAAGGAAAACATTCTAAAAAACTCTCGGAAATTGAAAGGGGAAAATATTTATATCAATGAGGATTATTGCGCGGAGACGATGCTAATTAGAAAAGAATTACGGGCGGGCATGAAAAAAGCACGAGAAGCTGGAATGTTTGCGTATATTTCATACGACAAGTTGGTGGTTCGCGAATGGTCTCGAAAACCCACGTAAATATTTTATATTTCTTTTAACGTAACTTTATTTTTATTTTTTATTTATCAATAGTTTTTCAAATTTTAATTTAACTTTTAGAAATGGAGAACAATCTCTCTTATAATATTAATGCTAAAAATATTGTTTTTAGCGATAATAACTCTGATAATCATACTGAAACCTTATTACAAAGTGAGTACTATTCAATACCTGAATCTACTCAATATCTCTGTGAGAATAAGAATAAATTTTCAATATTGCATATTAATATTCGAAGTATGAATAAAAACTTCGAGAACTTTAAGTGTTTATTGGGAGAACTTAATCATGATTTTAAAATAATTTGTTTCACAGAAACTTGGCTTAAAAGCAATGAAACAAATTCTAATTTTGAGTTAAGAAACTATACATCAGTTCATCAAATGCGCGATATTTGCGTTGGTGGTGGTATAAGCATATACGTTCACAATTCTATTGATTTTATTCAACGTAAAGATCTTAATGTAAACAATTTAGATTGTGAGGCATTATGCGTCGAGATAATAAATAAATTAGCTAAAAATTTCATAATCAATGCTATTTATAGAACACCAGCTGGTAGTTTAAAAACATTCAAAACTTATCTGCGCACATTCCTAACCACAAAAAATATATTGCAAAAGCATGTTTACGTAGTTGGGGATATCAACATTGACTTACTCAACCATGCCTTAAATAGTGAAGCAAAAACTTTTATTGATATTCTTCTCGAATACAACCTTATCCCAACTATAAACAAAGCAACAAGAGTAACTAAAAAATCATCGACATTATTAGATAATGTTATAACTAACAATTTTCATAATAGCCGTTTTAAAACTGGTATAATCAAGACTGATTTAACTGATCATTTCCCTATATTCTTTATTACTGAGAGCGTTACTCTAAATAATGCTACCCACAAATCAACAGTATTCATGAGACAAATCAATGAAAGTTCCATTTGCCAATTTAAAAATTTATTAAATAATTACGTTGATTGGAATCTTGTACTGCAATCACACGATGTAAATAATGCTTATGATTTATTTCTAAACCAATTTTCTAAAATGTATGATAAGGCATTTCCTTTAAAAGTGAAACTAATAAACTCAAAGTCGGTTGATTCCCCATGGATGACCAAAGGTCTACTAAAATCATCAAGGAAAAAACAAAAATTGTATGATAAATATTTAAAAAATAAAACTTATAAAAATGAAACTAATTACAAAAATTATAAAAATTTATTTGAAAAAACCGAAAAACAATCAAAAGTAAATTACTATGCTAAACTGCTTGAAAAAAACAAAGGAAACCCTCAAAAAACGTGGAGTGTTATTAGAGACTTAATTGGGAAAAATAAAATTGAAAAAAATAACTTACCGCAAAAACTTATTATTGAGGGAAAAATGATTTATCATAAAGAAGTTATTATTGAGAAATTAAACAATTTTTTTCTTGATGTTGGCCCAAACCTAGCAGCGAAAATTCCAATTGGTCAAAAAAAATTTGATTCATATCTTGCAACAACTGATTTAATTATGGAAGAACCGATTTTAACCAAAAGTGAACTACATACTGCTTTTAATAGTCTGAAAAAAAATAAAAGTGCAGGTATAGATCAAATTAATGTTAATGTAATTAAATCTGTTTTTGATATTATCGAACCCTCATTATTCCATATTTTTAATCTCTCCCTTAAATCAGGTCATATTCCAGATAAACTAAAAATTGCAAAAATAACACCTATTTTCAAATCTGGCGATGAGACCAATATTTCAAACTACAGACCAATCTCAGTCTTACCCTGCTTTTCTAAACTAATTGAACGCATTATGTACAACAGACTTTATAAATATCTATCTGAAAATAAGATTTTATATAATAATCAATACGGTTTTAAAAAAAATCATTCTACTGACCATGCAATAGTTGAATTAGTTAAGCATATATCAAATGGATTTAATAGTGATTGCTATACAATAGGGGTTTTTATTGATTTATCCAAAGCTTTCGACACAGTAAATCATGAAATTCTTTTGAAAAAATTAGAAAACTATGGTGTTAAAAATCAAAGCTTGCTTTGGTTTAAATCATACCTAACTAACAGAAAGCAATTTATAATTAAAGAATCAAAAGACTCAAAAAACAACTTAATAACTTGTGGAGTACCCCAAGGTTCTATTTTGGGACCATTATTGTTCTTACTTTATATAAATGATTTATATTTATCATCAAAAGTATTAAATACTATCTTATTTGCAGATGACACTAATTTGTTTTATTCTCACAAAGATATTACTGTTCTTTTTAAAATATTTAACGAAGAATTAGACAAGATCAACGAGTGGTTTATAAGTAACCGACTATCATTAAATGTAGAGAAAACAAAATTTATCCTATTCCATAAACCTAGTAAAGCCGAGAATATTCCTCTTAAACTACCCAATCTTTTAATCAATAATAAAATAATTAAAAGGGAATTGACTACAAACTTTCTGGGAGTGCTCTTAGATGAAAAATTGTCATGGAAATTTCATATTAAATATATTGAAGGTAAGATCTCAAAAAATATTGCCATGTTATACCGAACGAAACCTTTTCTTAATAACGAGTCTTTAAAAAATTTATATTTTTCGTTTATACACAGCTATCTTTCATACTGTAACATTTCCTGGGGTAGCACTAATCACACTAAACTCAAAAAAATTTATAGTAAACAAAAACATGCTTGCAGGATAGTATTTGGGGCAAATAGAAAAACACAATGCGAACCTCTCTTACGTAAGCTTGGAGCTTTAAATATTTATAAGCTTAATATTCATCAAGTAATGATATTTATGTTTAAAGCAAAACTTGGGTTTTCTCCAGTAACATTTCAATCCTACTTTAATGAAATCTCCCATAAATATCCAACCAAATTTTCAGTGAATAACTTTGTGGTTCCCATAAAATTTCTAAAATTAAGTTCGTACCAAATTCAATATCGGGGGCCTTTAGTTTGGAAAGATTTTTTTCCAATCTTTAGTAAAGAACAAAACTTCGTTTTAAACTGCACTTTGCAAAGTTTTAAGGATGATTCAAAACGGCATTTACTGAACATGGAATTCGATATACTAGACTTCAAATACCTTTTTTGAAAACAATTTAAAGGTTTAAACTAAATCACTTAAAAATAAATTAAATCTTTAACACTTTCTTTAGCTTTTATTAAAATGGTTTCAAACCATTAGTATAAAAGATAACGAAAATAAAATTGTCTTTTCGTTCATATTTTTGATGATATTAAATAATCAGCCCAAATACTTATGTTTACATATATTGCTTTTTTATTTTTAAAATTATTCTGCTTGAAGATTGTTAGCAACAAATTATTTTATTGCTAAAGTTTTTGATTTATTTTTGTTTTTGTATTTATACTGGCTTTTTGTCTTTTATCATTTATTGTGCATGTAAATTTTTGTGTGACGGGGCTCGGTGATAAGACAATCTGTCTTCTTCTTGCTCCAGCCAGGATTTTCTTTTATTGTAATTTCTTTTTTGTAATATTTATCAACGGCAAATTAAATAAATAATAAAAAAAAAAAAAAAAAAAAAAAATATATATGGTAAGCATAATGCATAAATATGATACGCATAATGCATTTATATGATATGCATAATACATATATATATATATATATATATATATATATATATATATATATATATATATATATATATATATATATATATATATATATATATATATATATATAATATATATATATATATATATATATATATATATATATATATATATATATATATTTATATATAATATGCATAATGCGTTCCATAGAATAACTTAAATTACTTTATTTTAACAATAGACAAATTTCTACTGTTAAAATAAAAATTAAAAAGACAATTGACCTGTAAAGCTGTTCGTTGTTTATAATCACGATCTTCAATTTTCGCTCCAAAGTTTAGTAATACATTTAATGAGTCCACTGCATCATTTTTTGCTGCAAAATGAATAGGCTTCTGCTCATCGCCATGGGTTTTGCTATCAATGTCTGCTCCATTTTTGATAAGAAAATATACCATTTCTGAATAGTTTACTGAACATGCTACGTGAAGAGGTGTTCTTCCCAGAATGTCAGGTTGATTGATTGCGGCTCCTGAATTAAAAAATATTTAATTTTTTATTTATGAAAAAAATTTAGATTTATTAGAGGAGGAGGAAATGAACATTTAAAATTTTTGTTTGTTTTATATATATATATATATATATATATATATATATATATATATATATATATATATATATATATATATATATATATATATATATATATATATATATATATATATATATATATATATATATATATATATATATATATATATATATATATATATGTATATATATATATATATATATATATATATATATATATATATATAAGAAAGAAGTTGTTCAGCTTTTTATGACTTATTTGAATATTTTGGGTAAAAAAGTCAAACCTCGAATAAAAATTGTTTTGAAACAACTTGTTGTGATTGGCACAAAAAGTTAGCAAAAAAAAACTGCTCAATTGATTGAAAGACTCGAGGAGCGGTAGAAATATTAAATACTTTGAACTGTTGTAAAAGATTTTCCTTTAACCAGTTTAAAAGATAGTTAAAAAATATAAAGAACTATTTTGATTTTTATATATATACTTTTAATTGAGTTTATTATTCTGTTCACAAGTATCAGATATAAAAAATATAGGATTTATAAAGCTTTTTTGTTTTGTTGTAGTTATTAAGGTGCTCCCAGAAGTCCTTACAGTCTTATCTCAGAGTACCGCGGAGGAGCAATAAACAAGGAAATTTACGCCTCCTTCCATACCAATGTTGCCAGAACTCTAACCACTGCGCCATGGCATGCTTGTTTCACTGAATTGGTGCATAGTTTCGTCACAAAGCTAAAAAAATAATTGATAAAGAGGACGAACGACACGGAATTTTAAGTGCAGCCGTGGCGCAGTGGTAATGCTCTTGCCTCAGAAACAAAGCATCTGTGGTTCAAACCCCACCTCTGGCCATCTTTTGCGACGTCGGTGAGGAAGGAGGTGTGAACTTCCAATTAAATGCTCATTCGCGGTGCTCTGTGATAAGACAGTAAAAACTTTTTGGGGCACCTAAATAAAATTAAAAAAAAAAGTGGGGGGCACAATCGTCAATTTCTAAAATAAGTTCTTTATATCATATATATAAAGTGGGAGGCCAGGGCCCCCATGAACTATCCCCCCTCCCCTCCTTAAAGAAACACAAAAAGTGTTTAAAAACATTTGTATGCTGTTGATCATTTATAGTATTTTGTACTTTCAACAAAGCATTATGAGTCAAAGTGTGGCAAAACAATGCAAAAAATTTATTTGCTTGTCATTTCAAAATTTTAAAATTTTGAAAATGATACCTTTTCCGTATTTAGTTAGGTTATATAACTTATGGAAAAAATTTTAGGCAAGACAATGTCAATATTGTTTTATAACATTTTTTATCCAAAAAAGAAAAGTAAAAAATTTTCGTCTTTCAAATGTTTTGAAAACTTTATTTCTTATTTTAAAAACTGCAAGTTTATTTTTTTTGTCTTAAATAACTTAAATACTAATATGGTAATGTATAAGTAAAAAAAAAGAAGATTGTATTAAATCTAGGTGCTTTTTTTAGAAATACTCTCAGTCTCAGCTAATATATTGAACATGGATGTGTATCTAATGAAAAACACGGGTGTAGATCTAATGAAAAAGATTCATATTGATTTTGCTGCAGTTTAATACAGTGATGATCAAAATTTAATATATTTTGTTGAAAAAATGCTTTGCTAAATGCTGACCTGTCCTTATGGTATTCTATGAAGTCATTAAATTATTTACTCGTTTATGTTTTCTGAAAAAGCTTAAAAAAAAAAACTTTCAAGATCTTTCATTAAAATTCTACTAAAAATTCGCAAAAAGAAAAAGAAAACACTTTGTCTTGTTTCATCGTCACATTTTAAGCCATGATTCATCGTCACATTTTAAGTCATGTTTCATCGTCACATTTAGAAAAATGAGTCATTTAAACAAAAAGTTTTGTGTAATTGAGTCAACGAAAAGAGTCAACGACAGAAAGCTACTCTCTAAACGACAGAACGCTACTCTCTAAACGACAGAACGCTCTATGTAAAATATAAATAACATCCTTGTTGTTAATTTTATTGCTTGTTGACGAAATTTATTTTTCACTGGAAACAATATGCAAACAATCAGGGCAGTGGGACTTTAAAGGTTTTATATCGAGTAACACAAGGATCAATCTTTGGTTCTCATGTTTTTAATCTATTTAAATGACTTGTTACGTATCTGAACAATTCAACTCAATTATGTTAGGCTGATAATACCAAATTATTTATGTCCAGTAGTGATATTATTTTTTTATATGTAGATGTCAATATAGAACTGGAGAAATACCAAAACCGCTAACGAGGGATATGAAAATAGTGAATGTACACGAAATTAATATGTTTCAATACATGACCTTTATGTATAACCATTTTAATAATTTTGCACCAACAAAGTTTGAAAAAAATTTAAGAAAATTTTAAACGATAGCTATTGATTAAGATCTAATGAGTTATGTATCAACAAGGAAGGTTTACTTGAAATTTTTTTCTCCAATGTGCAATGCAAACTATTTTATTTTTTAATTTTATTAATTAATTTTTAAACAATTTTTTTCGATTTTAAAAAAATGCGACTATACAAAAATGTAAACAGTCACACATACAACTATAAAAAAAAAAAAATATTTAACAATAGTGATTCATTTTTATATACGTTTTATTGAATATGCATTGACTTAATAAAACTTTTATAGAATGTGTGACACATTGAAAAAATTTCAATGAGAAACTTAAAACAAATAATAATTATTGAATATTATTATCGAATGCTGTTCCGTGACAGCGTTTTATAAGACCATCTTGAGATAAGTTATTTTTTAAGGCTTCCTAAAAAAGATGAAAAAAAGGGTGCTCTTGTATGTAATAAAAAAGATGTATCATTTATTTTTAAATTTATTTTGAGACAACTATAAAAAAAATTTAAATTCTTAAAAGATAAATTAAAAATTAACATTGGCGCAATATTGGTACAGTATTTGTCTCAATATTAGCTAAATATTGTTAACAATATTGCACTAGTATAAAATCTCAACATTTTAATATATATATATAGCCAATATTGATATACAATATTGGCTGTATATAAACTGCAATATAATGCCAACATATTTTTAAATATATTGCATATATATATATATATATATATATATATATATATATATATATATATATATATATATATATATATATATATATATATATATATATATATATATATATATATATATATATATATATATATATATATATACATATATATATATTAGGGTGCATCAAAGGCCCCATACTTTCAAAAATTGATCTGCCTCTATTCTTAAAACTTTCTATTGGTACTCACAAGACACTCTGTTAAATTTTTTCAAAATTGAATGAGATTTAGGGGGGCCACCTCAAATCTGAAACTTGCGACAAGACCCTAAACAGAAGAAAAAAAAGTTTTTCAAATATATGTCATGTTGGGTCTTAAAAGAAGCGAAATTTTATAGAAAATTTCAAAAACAATAAAAGTTTTACATAATATTTATTATTATAACAAAAATAGTTATTATATTTTTAACAAAAATTAATAACTATTTTTGAAATTTTTATAAAGTTTCGCTTCTTTTGAGACCCAACATAACATACATTTGAAAAACTTTTTTTTCTTCTGTTTATGGTCTCGTCGCAAGTTTCAGATTTGAGGTGGCCCCCCTAAATCACATTCAATTTTGAAAAAATCTAACAGAGTGTCTTGTGAGTACCAATAGAAAGTTTTAAGAATAGAGACAGATCAATTTTTGAAAGTATGGGGCGTTTGATGCACCCTAATATATATATATATATATATTCGGGTGTATATATATATATATATATATATAAATATATATATATAAATATATATATATAAATATATATATATATATATATATAAATATATATATATATATATATATATATATATATATATATATATATATATATATATATATATATATATATATATATATATATATATATATATATATATATATATATATATATATATATAGATATATATATATATATATATATATATATATATATACATACATATATATATATATATATATATATATATATATATATATATATATATATATATATATATATATATATATATATATATATATATATATATATATGATGAAGGATATCTTGTACAAAAGTTAATGCAAATTTTGAAACATTACTACAATATTCTTGTACCACTATTGTTTATAATATCAAGCTTAAAATTATTTATTTTTTAACAAAATTTACCATGTTTTAATAGAAGTTTTGCAACTTCAGTATCCCAAGCTCTAGCCACCTCATGCATCACACTCTGTCCATATCGGTCTGTATTATTGATGCTTATGTTAGATAAGAGTAGTTCGTTTAAATAATGATGGTCGACCAATATTTTGTGGTCTTTATCCTTTTTGTTGTGATCAGAGAAGTATTTTATTAACGTCTCATCGTTTATATCTGGTATTATACCTTTGTCTACATTATTTTTGCATGGTTCATTAAAAGCAACGGAAATTAGTGGCATAGGTGGTTGGGTGTGTTTTAACGAAAAATATTTTTGTAGCGAGTTAAAATTTGCAACTTCATTTTCGTAAATTATGTTCTCATTTCCAGATTGATATTTATCATCTTTTTTACCATCAACCTGAGTTGGTTGATCAACCTGAATTGGTTGATCAACTTGATTTAGTGTTACGGAAAATATAGGACTTACTCTAGAACTTTTCATTTACCTTTTTAACTAAAACATCTTTCTATAAATAATAAACTTATATCTATAAATGCATTTTTTAAAAGGTAGTTGTTTTGAAAAACTGTGTTTTTATGTTAAACTCAAAATTAATTGAGAATTTTTAATTTTATTAAAAAAACATTCAAATATTTAAACGATGTATTCGTAAATACTTAATTATTAAATATTTTCACTGACTAAATCATTGAGCATATATGGTGAGTGAATCAGTCTTATGGATCTTATAAAACTACACTTTTTCAAATATGTTTTTACGTTAAAAAACTTCGGAAGATGGACGTTAATCTTAAACTCTGTAGATAATATTGTTTATCATGGTTTAGTGAGAAGTTTTTTTAAGAAAACGGACCACACCTGTACAAACTGACTACCACAATTATTTCAAAACCTAAAAATTATTTATTAGCATATAAAAAATTATTGATGTTTTTTTGAAACCACGTCACGTACCTGATGTAACGTTAAAATCCCTAACTTTCTAAAAACACTAAAAACCGGCGTGTAGTTTATGAGAAGGCAATAACGTTATAGCCACTAATAAAGAGTAAATTTTTAGAGCATTAAAAGCGTCTGTTAATTTAAAGAATTATTTACGCAGAAAAAATATACTTTACATTTCATATTTTTGAAACTATGCAGGCGTGCACTCACACTACTTTAATCAACCATAGTACTAACAAATACTTTTAACGTTACTATCTTTTGCGATTGTATACATTTATAATACCAATTATAACTTTAGATAAAGTTAGACCAATGAGAAGCTACATAAATGTCAATAAAACTATTATTATAAAGATTTTGTCAAAGTAACGTTTACAATAAAGTTATACCAATGAGAAGCTACATAAATGTCAATAAAACTATTATTATAAACATTTTGTCAAAGTAACGTTTACAAATTATTGCTAACAGTCGTTTAACTCGACGCTAATCTAACGAGACATGTACGATGCCAACCTTAGCTATAAACAACCAAACATTCCAGCGCGAAGCTGACATATGGTTCACATCATACTTTTTTGATATAAGAGTCAAAAATGCTATTTGTTTTGATATAAGAGTCAAAAATGCTGTTCATGTTTTCTTTATGCTCTGGTCAGAGAATAAAGAAAACATGAATTTTTTTTAAACTTTTCTACCTTTGTTTTAGTTTCCATGCCTTTCTCTATTCTTTTATAAACAGACTTGATACCAGTATAGCTCTTGTGGTATGCACGAATCATATCAAGAACACGTTACTTTGAAATTGCAGAAGTGGAAGCATCAGAGTAAAGCATTTGCAGCTTTACGCATACTTGCTCTGCAATGCACAGTGGGCCAGATAGTGAACAAAAGTAAAAAAATACATTTTCAAAAATTAAATTATTATATAGGGGAAAGTTGTTGAAATTGGAACAGCGCCTTTATTGGAACACTTGAATTTATTTTTGAAAAAAAAATGAATTGTGGCTATATTTTGCATTTTTTTAGTAAAACGCATTATTTTCTACGTTTTGACATATTTTAAAAGTTATTCCTCAAAAAATGCGTTTTCACCATTGATTTAATGTTTTTTTACGTCATTTTTTTTTCAGTGATCTAATTTTGTATTCACACTATATTGATTGCGCTGTGTAAACTATAGTGCTACAGATTATACCGTTTTTTGTGTTTAATTCGATAGGACTTAAAATGCAAAATAACAATATAAACTTATCTTATAAGTTGCTGCCAGCATGTTATTGTAGTGATATAACAAAATAGTCGAAAGTTTCCTTGATTGGAACATTGAAGGTTCCCTTACCTAATCAGTAATAAAATCAAAGGGTTGTAAAAATAGTTCAAGTGCAATTAAAAAAATAGTTAGCGACAACCATAAACCTTAAAAATAATACTTTATTTAGTGATTTTTAGTCAATAAATTAGGAGAACGTCATAACAGTTGAAGCTTTATACAATTTTTTGTTTGTAGACTTAATAAATTTGTCAGGGTAATACTAATACTATAATAAGGTTTGAATTAACTGTTTAAATTTTCACTGTAAAGATGAAAATCATTTTTTACAAATTTTTGTTGATTTTACTGGACTTAAAAAAAATAATAATAATAACCTGTTTTGATGAAGGAACCAAAGTGTTCAATTTTAGGGAACCAGTTGTCTTGATTGGAACAAAATGGTAACTTTAAAAAAACAAATTTATTCCCAATAACAGTGCAATCAATAAACTCAAATTGTGGTTAAAAGTATATTAAGGATGTCTATTTGTATTAATCAAATCATAAATGTTTTCATAGTTAAACCATCTTTGGTTAATAAATATTTAGTCCTAAATTGTTCCAATTAAGCCAACTCTCCCCTAAGTGAAATTTTAACTGTACTTTTAAAAAGTACTTCAAATACGCAGTCATATGAAATCATTTAATTTGAAAACTTATGTGCAAAATAGTGCTCCGATAGCTCATAATATATTTAAAATATAAATTAGGTTGTTGCCACTATTCATTTTATGCGTGTTTATTCATTCTTATATTCGCGTTTATATGCGAGTCAACCACCAATAAAATCTTTAATAAAACTTTATATAAACAATAAATAGGCTTTTATGTTTTATATAAATATATTTAAAATATAAAATAGGTTGTTGCCACTGCTATTTATAAAATGGTTGCCGAGCCAGCGCTGGATAACTATGCATATGGTTGTAAAATGGAATTAAGTCAAACCCTGTACCATCCATAATATTTTTAAGTTTCCTGATTACCCCATCCGTATTTAGAGGCCTTTTTCCCTGTTTGTAAGTATGCTTTGAAGAAGAAAAAAAATTATTCTATTGGATTAAATGTATGCTTGCAGATACGTAATAGCGATGCCATGATAGGCTAGTTTTTGTCTAACAGAAAGCTTCCAGTGGAATTTACAATTGTTCATAACAAACACCGGCGCTTTGACATCTGCATTCCTAATCGCTGGTGCCAACATTTTAACTTTTTTGAAAGTTTAAAATAAATCTGCATTCCAGCTTCCAGTTTTTCTTTCATAAGCCAGCACTCCGATTGTTGAAACAGCACAAATCAAACATTCTTACTACGATTTGCAAACGATTGCAAACATATAAGAATGAATAAACATGCATATAAGAATGAATAAATGCGCATATAAGAATGAATAAATGCGCATATAAGAATGAATAAATAAGCATATAAAAATGAATAACCCTAAAATAACCAAATAAAACAAAGCAAAAAAAAAAAAAAATTTTAATTTAAAAAAAAAGCTTTTTATTCTACAGCTTAGGATACGAATAATTAAAATACTAAAATATATACATTTTAAAAAAGCTGATTGTTTAAGCAATAAAATGGTAGGGGAGAGTTGCCATAATTTGAACAATTTAGGACTAAATATTTATTAACCAAAGATGGTTTAACTATGAAAACATTTATGATTTGATTAATACAAACAGATATCCCTAATATACTTTTAACCACAATTTGACTTTATTGATTGCACTGTTATTGGGAATAAATTTGTTTTTTCAAAGTTACAATTTTGTTCCAATCAAGGCAACTGGTTCCCTAAATAGGAACACTTTGGCTCCTTCATCAAAACAGGTTATTTATTTATTTTTTTTAAATCCAGTAAAATCGACAAAATTTTTTGAGGAATAACTTTTAAAATATGTCAAAACGTAGTAAATAATGCGTTTTACTAAAAAAATGTAAAATATAGCCACAATTCATTTTTTTTCAAAAATAAATTCAAGTTTTCCAATTAAGGCGCTGTTCCGATTTCGGCAACTCTCCCCTATATAGCTGAATACTTTTGCGTTCCAAGATGGTCCAGTAGCTTCAAGCTTAAAATACATTGTTCAATATGTATATTTCCAATAAAAATTTGTTTCATAATCCACGGTTGTCTGCTTTTTTTTTCCTCTAATACTCTGTTGGTTATAAAATTTATTGGTTTTTGTAATGAGATTTGATCGCAACCATATACTATTCTTACATTTGTATAAGGTCTCCACGGATTCTTCTTTTCTCTAATGATTCCAGGTTAAAAACTTTAAGCCTGTTTTTATATTTCATTTTTTTAAAGATGGTACCATTTCTGTCACTCTTTTTTGAACTTATGAGGCGAAAACATTATATGTATTTTATTCTAAACAGTTACGTAATAACTGGTTCTCAGTGAGACTAGATTATTGTTATAAACTTGTTTTAATATTAATGCATCTTTTATTTTATAAATATAATCTATATTTTTGAACCAATGAGCCAATATCGGTTCATTTTATACAAAATGAACCGATATTGGTTCAATTTGTAATTGATAATAAGAAAGTTCTTCTAACTGCCTACATTGATAAAGATAACTTTTCTCTCATCCAACTGTAGTATCTGGCAGACTCCAGGTGAATTTTTATACTTCAAGTAATAAAACAACGAAAATAAGATTGGCACCATTAGTTTCTTTTTTCCATCATTAAAACTATTGTTTCCATAAGGTTTGCGCCAAGACGGTTAAGAAGCTAAAGCTGTTTTACATTTATCAGAAAAAATGAGTTTTGGTTTGAAAAATAACTTTGATATTATCATATACTCAAAAATGTTTCTTTTTATATGGACTTATATGGATTTTATACTTTTTATATTTTATTAAAATTAGCTTCATTAAAATTAGCCAATAATTATAACTTTGGTGTTTTAGAAAACGTAAACTAGTAACTATGCAAAATGATCATTGTTCCAAAGTTCCACTGCAGTAATATTATGGGAGTTATTCAATTAAGTTATTACTTTTGTTAAGTTTATATTTATTATGGATAATAAAACATGAGGTTGCAAAGCAATTTAGGTATCCATAGCAACCCAAAATTAAAACCAATGTCATCATTGAAACTGCAATCCTCAAATTAGTGAACATTGTAAAAATTGACTCTAAATCTTTTTATATGACGAGGTATTAATTTTGTCTAAAAAAAAAATTGAAAAAATCGGTTTTCAAAAATTACATATTCTTGTAACCTAAACATTCTAAATTCCGAATATATATAGATTATTACAGGAAATGATTTTAAAAATGCTCTAAAATAGCCAGTTTTGTAATGAAATTAAAAATTTTCCTTAGCAACGGCCTTACTTTATTTGCCACGTGCTTTTTAAATTATGGGAAAAAATAAATATGACATTAATTCAAGAAGAAAAGCAAGTGGTTACAGGATATTTATGAAAAATAGTTTATAGAAAATCAATTTTCCTCAGCACCAACAATCTGCAATACAAATGGCCTGACTTCTAAATCGAAAATCTAAATAACAAAAAAAAAATTTTTTTTTTTTTTTGTTATTTAGATTTTTTCAACATGTTTCTCCGCGCAGCGGTCTTATTCTTCAAGGTTCGTGTTTCGGAGTTATAGAGTTGAGAGAGGATTATAACCACAATTAAGTAGCATCCTCGTCTGTAGTGGCTTTCTCGGCCTTGAGGAGGTGAAATAACATAACAAAAAAAAAATTTAGGTGCCTCAAGAAGACCTAATTGTGACCTCTTGTCACAGAGCACTGCGGAAGTGCATTTAACTAGGAAGTTCACGCCTCCTTCAAAAAATCTTGACATCAACATCTTCAAAAAAAGTTATCACATGGAAGTAATAATAGTAACAGTAAAAGTTAATAATTTAAAGGAGTTGCCTTCATGATTTATTTTAATTGGCACAGACATTTTAAAATCAGTTGTAACTTTGATTGGAATCGAGAATGTCATAATAATTCAATTAAAATCTCAACTGATTTATATAAAAAGAAAGAACCGGCTGTATTTTTAAACATTTCTTGTAAAAAAATCTTCGTACAATTGGAAGTGGTCTTTTTATTCTAGCAAAGAGATTGAAAAACAAGGTCCTGGAATGTCACCATTTGAAATTAATTATAGATCTGTCGTTGCCATAAGAGAGATAAGAAGAAGTCATTTTGGTTTAGAAATGTTTTGCGGTCTAATGAAATGTATTGACTATCGGGTTCTTTCAAAAATATGCAATGTGTGTGCATCAATCAATAAAAATAGCGATGCAGATCTTTATAAAAATATGAAGCATTGTCTTAAAGAAGTTTTTGTTAGTGGTACCACTTCAGAAATGAGTACTGTATCAGCAGTAATTTCAAATAATTATGGTATTTCTGCTATATATATTTAAATGTTACACCAGGTACATTTGCTTCTCAGTACTGTACCAAGATAGACCAAAAAAGAGTGAAATTAATGGAAAAGAAGTCGCTCGACTCCATAAAACAAAAAAGAAAGCAGTTTTGTGCAATATGTTTTTACTGATATAGTAAATGAATGTGAAGATCTTATGAAGCAGGAGTGTTTTGTTTTAGTTTTTTGTTATTTTTTAACTAAGCTTATGTTAACGTAGTTATTGCATTTTGTAATGTAGTTATTATATATTGTATTTTAAAATTAGACTTTTTATTATTAATTAAATAATTCTATTTTTGATAAATGTTTTTCAAATATTGAAGTTTTCACACTTTTTTTTTTTTTTTTATGTTTTCAATAATGCTTATGATCTATTGTTTTGCTATAATTTTCTGATCTTTATTTTTTGTATGTACTTTAAAACTATTGTTTTTCTCAAAATATAAGTTTCTTGCACGCTGCGATAAACATCTTGTTATTGGATTGTCTGTTTGTGTTGAAATTTTCACGAGTTGTTTATTATATACGCTTTACCAAAATAATTTATGTTAGTTAACTGGTTCAAAAAAAAAAAGGTCTGGGTTCTAAGCCTTTTTGGGGCTATTTTTTAGGATATAAACCGGTTATCTTACAAAAGCTTGAATAATTTGTTAAATTATTTGATTTTGGCAGGGTGAGTGTAACCATCTGATATTAAAAAGCTGCAAAAATTTCATGATCATACCATTATTAGTTCACAGGCTGTTTATTGCAGCACGTAGTCCATATTTAAGGTCCATGGACTCAAAATCTAGACCCCCCAAAAAAAATTTATTTCTTTACCGTACTTTAAATATGAAATATATTTTGTTTAAAAATCATAAAAAATGAATGCATTTTTTTTAATTTTGATTTTATTAGTATAAGGCCACCTTAAAAAAACTTCCTCAATAACTTTAAAAATCTTAGCTTTTTAAGGTGAGTGTATGTGTTTCAATGCAATCATGAAATTCATAACAAAATAGAGGAAAATATGACTTATTATCTACCATAACAATATATATCTCTCTTGGGGAAATATTATATGGTAAAAATAATCGTGTATAAATTTATAAAAAAAACGTTTTTTGAGTTAGCTATTTACGTTCTAATCGAAATATATAATGCTGAAATAAGTCACGTATTATTATTGAGTTTAATACGCCCTTCGCGATTTCACACGAACACCATATATAAACTATATATACCATAACAACAACCAAACCAGAGAAATATGCTCCTAAAAATTTCGAGGTGAAGACAAAAAATCATCCCCATAAAATAATCTTATAGTCCAAAACTACAATTTTTTGTTTAACCAAATAATTTTAACAATGCAAGACGCATCTCAAAATACATCAGTATTTTTTGTTCAACCAAATAATTTTAACAATGCAAGACGCATCTCAAAACACACCAGTATTTTTTGTTCAACCAAATAATTTTAACAATGCAAGACGCATCTCAAAACACATCAGTATTTTTACGGAAATCTTAAAATTTTTCCAAATAAATAACAATTTAACAATCAATCACAGCATAAAAAATTACCGTATTTACATAAACTAAGCTATTTACAGTAACAATAGTTAAATATATACACTTATATTAATATATTAAAAAATATTACTTTGATATTATTTTTAAAAAAAATATTTTTAAATGGAATTCTGGTAAGAAGATTCTTCATTGATTGCTTTTGTTAAAGTTTCTAAAAATATAAGTCCATTGTAATAACAACCGTACAATAACTCACGATTTCCATTAAAATAATTAATAATTTTATGGTAATTAAGGAATACTCTCCAAAACATAATAAAATATACCTTTAGTTTCATCGTCGACAAGATTTAAGCACACAACAATCCAACCTAAAACTGAACCAATAACTCTGAGTAAATTTATCACTTTCCATGTCTCCAAACGGTTTCCAACATCTGACCTAAATGTACATACATTTTAGTTAAGAGTAATATGAAAATATATTAAAAATAAAAGATTAAAAACAAGCAAATAAATTAAGATATGCAAATTTTGAAAAGTTGTATCTACGCAAACATTATATTTATAGGAGTTTGAATCATTTTGAAGGTTTGAGTGTAAAGGAATTAGAAAAATGATCCAAACCAAAGCAGTTTTTTCATTTCCCTCTATCCCATCTGCCTCCCTTGCATCGAGAACAATCATAGATCATTACCAAAGTGTTGGAATATCAGAATATAAATCAATTCGATCATCAAGCTGAGCGAGGCTAACGGAGAATGCCATCGAAAAAAAGTAAACTAAAAAAAGTTAAATACTACTTTTAAATATTTTTTTGAACAATCGATAAATAATATTTCATGTATTGCCTTAGTTGCCTCATTTAAAGTAATGTTTTCGATTTAACTTTACTTATCTTTAACATCATAATTATATAAATTATATTAATATATATATATATATATATATATATATATATATATATATATATATATATATATATATATATATATATATATATATATATACATATATTAGGGTGCATCAAACGCCTCATACTTTCAAAAATTGATCTGTCCCTATTCTTAAAACTTTCTATTGGTACTCACAAGACACTCTGTTAAATTTTTTCAAAATTGAATGAGATTTAGGGGGGCCACCTCAAATCTGAAACTTGCGACGAGACCCTAAACAGAAGAAAAAAAGTTTATCAAATGTATGTCATGTTGGATCTCAAAAGAAGCGAAATTTTATAAAAAAATTTCAAAAACAATAAAAATTTTACATAATATTTATTATTATAAGTTTTATTGCATAAAAATTATTTTTAAGCAAAAAATTAAAAAAAAGCCATTTTTTCATGGTTTTTGGTCGAAATTTTTTTTCAAGGTACTTTTAACAAAAAATTATAACTATTTTTGAAATTTGAGACCCAACATGACATACATTTGAAAAACTTTTTTTTCTTCTGTTTAGGGTCTCGTCGCAAGTTTCAGATTTGAGGTGGCCCCCCTAAATCTCATTCAATTTTGAAAAAATTTAACAGAGTGTCTTGTGAGTACCAATAGAAAGTTTTAAGAATAGAGACAGATCAATTTTTGAAAGTATGGGGCGTTTGATGCACCCTAATATATATATATATATATATATATATATATATATATATATATATATATATATATATATATATATATATATATATATATATATATATATATATATTAAAGCTATATACTAACATGTGATATAGAGATTAGAATGGGCATAACAAAGCCATGATACATTTATATATAATATGCTAAAAACAGACATTATTTAATTAGGGACAGTCATTCTCTGTAAATCAGATTTTTTAAAGCAAAAAAAAGAAATACCAACTAAAGCAACAGCTCTTGAAGGTTTCGAAAGTAAAGCCAGAAAAAACTGGTGCCAACCATTGCTTATATTAACATATCTAAACATTATAGTTTTATTCAAAATAAATTTACAATTAATTAGAAAAATAAAAATTAATTATTCACAAATACCTGTCAAGCACAGAAACTGCACATACAGCAAACAAAAAATAAAAAACTGACTGAAAAGGCGAGGCAAGAATATGGTAGTAATTTAAAATGAATTTTTCATCAATTTTTGATAACGTATAGATAAATACACATTGCGAAGAAGCAATACCTAAAAAATAAAAAGTAAATATGGAAAAAAAAATTATTCCTAACAAAAATCAAAAACAAAATAATAACATCAAAGTACCTGCTAACAACCCATGACAAATAACTGCAAAGCTTGTAAATGCTTGATGAAATTTCTACAAGCAAAAAAAAAATATTACCACAAACAGAAAAAATTAAAAAAAACAAAACAAAACAAAAAAACATTTTTGGACAGTCAGGGGCGTACCTCCGATTTTTTCCTGGTCGCCCTGCGGACAACTGAAATAGTTTTTATTTCTCATTTGAGTTTACCGCTATCATAATCAGTAATCCAGTATAATATTTTTTTTTGGTATTTTTTCTTGGGTGAAAATACTAAAGACAACAAGTGAAAATATTGAAGAAATAAAATTTAAATGTGTGACTACTAAAATACGTCTAATTAGAAACGGTTTAATTAAAAATAAATCAATCAATAAAAAAAAGTGAAAATTTATAACCTGTTAAAAAATATTGTTAAGTAATTTTAGTTACAAATAAATATTGGTAAAGTAATAACAATAAATTCAACTTTTAAAGATCGTAATTATTGTTGTAGTCAATATCTGTTTCGTGTCATTTCTTTTAGTCTATCTTAACAACAATCTTAGTCAATCTGAAAGCCAAAACCGCTAAGAAACATTTTATAAGTTTTAAACATTTTTTATTTACTTCTTTTTTTTAAAAAAAAAATAATTTTCCACATACACTCTTGTTCATTGATTCTAATAACGATTTTTCACATGCATCTTAGTAATGTTTTTTATTTTGTTAATTTTGTTTGACAAAGTTAAAATAAAAATTTATTTTACTAATGAAAAACAAAAGAGATTCAGTGTTATTAATGAATCAACTGCCCATTCATGTGATTCAAAATGTGACTATAATGTTTAAAAAATGATACATTAGCATTTGGAATTAAAAAAAAATATTAAAACTCATTTTAAATTGAGAAGAAAAGTGCTTCAAAATACAGCAACAACATTTAAAATACAGTACAGTCATACTTCGAAATATTAAATCACCTGTAGGCTTCTGTTTATTAATTTTAGTAAAATTATACAACGCACCATAGTATACTCGTAGTGTACTCGAATATTAAACGAAATGTATACTACTTTAAATGATTTTTATGTTTTCTTTTAAATAATCACAAGAAATAAAATCTTCATAGATCAAAATATGGTTTTATTAATAAACACACTTTTGTAAGTAAAAAAACTGTCTGGTCATCCTGCAAGGCTATGATAAGCATATTTCAGTTCAAAATTTCAGTCATCCATGGGCTAAAACGAGTCGTCCCGTGCTACCGGACAACCATGAGGATACACCGCTGTCAGTTATTTAAAAAAAATAAAAATTGAAAAGTAAAATCAAGAAAGAACTAAAAAGTAAAATTAAGAAAATATAAAAAAAAAAGATAATGTAAAAAAAGATACGAAATACCAAAAAAAATAAATTAAACTATTATAAAAAAAAAAGAATTAGAAATATTAAGCTTCTGAAAAAAAAAGAAGAAAAAGAACTATTAAGCTTCTGACCAATACAAACTGTAAAGGCGTAGGTTTTCTACTATCTTCAAAAATATCCTCTGCAAAATTAAGTTGATGAAGTTTTGAAACACGTTTATATTCTTTTGCAAAACCTTGGCCATCTAAAACAAAGAAAAAATGAAATTTTATTTGACATGTCACAAACATCAGAACTATGCTCACATAACATACAACACATCCATGCACAAGCACACATTGCACTCACATAACATACAACACATACTCACACAAGCACATATCACACTCACATAACATACACTATATGCCACATAAAACAAAGCAAAACTATAACTACCTTTTTTTTCTATGTAAAAAATATCTCTGCGTTGACTTGGTTGTGATGGAGGAATAATAACATTTGATAAAATCTTTACACTTGGATCCATATCTCTTGCTTTTATAATATCATCATTGTCAATATGAAAAATGTCAGGTACTAATGATACAATAAGAAAAGAAGAATGTATAACATTAAAAAAATATGTAAGATATTAAGCACAAATTTTAAATAGAATTAAAAAGAATATATAACATTTTAAAAATCTGTAAGATATTAAGATATAAAAAATAAAATTGAATTGAATCAAAAAAATTGTTAAAAAAAGTTATTTTGAAGAGCGCAATAACAATAAAATAACTTTTCCTTTTCCAACAAAATAAACAAACAAACAGCAAATAAAATAAACATATTTAAAAAAAAAAAAAATTACATTCTGCATCCTCATTGTAACTATCTTCCAAATCAGGAGAAAGATTAATTGGTCTTAAAAAAAGAGAAATGCAATTAAAAAAAAAATTATAATAAATTCTTATTGTTAGAGACAAAATGCACTACATATTTTTATCTTGTAATTGAGAATACAAAAGTTGTAACTGAGAATATTTAAGGAATAACAATAAAACCCTATTGAGAATTAGTGGTAATAGTTAAAAAATGTTAACTTGTAGATAATAAAATAAATAAAAATTAAAAAAAAAACTTTTAAAAAGGCAGTAAAATAGCTTTTTTTATGGCTGCAACAGCTGAAGACAAGGTTAAAAGTTTACAAAAAAGCCAGAAATAAAGAGTTAATTATATTAACAGTATATTATAAAATATACTATTAATCTTCTTTTTTTAGCAAAATAACATGACTGTTTTAATTTTATATAAAAAAAGGTTGCAGTTGCAAATATAGCAAAATAAGAAAAAACAGTATTTTTTATCAAAATAATATCATAACATTAATTTGGACTTAATTAGTTCAACTAAATAATAATAAAATAAAATATTAAAATATTTTATTTAATAAATTTTTAAAGTTTAAAAATAGAACACAATTTTTACATTTATTCAGAAGTGGTAACATCAGGTATACAACAATTGCTTCAGTATTATTAAAATGAACATTCTTCTGGTAGTTGAATATCAATAGCTTCAGTTGGACTTTGTTTTCCAGTATAAAGTCTGAAGCGATATATGTATCCAGAATCTTCACATAGGCAAAATAGTTTTATTCCAAACCTGGTTCTTTTAAGAGAAAGATATTGTTTAAAGAGTAGTGTACTTTTCCATAAAAACAATGACTCAATGCAATACATTGATTTGGGGTATAAACACTTTGAAATTTTCAAAAAAGTTACTCTTTAACTGGTTGTAACTTGTATAACCTATCTTGATTTGGATTTATATGAAAAAACTTCAATAGTGAATTTAAACGATTACGAGAGATATAACTGTATTAAACACAGGTGTTTGAAATATTTTATCAGTTGACCAATACAAATGTTTAGCAAGTTTATGAACTAAACCCATAATTAAAATCAAACTAGAAACTTTTTCATTTCAGAAAGAGTTGTTGGATTCTAAAAACAGTCTTTGGAATGCCTTGGTATATTTCTATGAGTTTCAATATATTGCAGAGCAAAGAGGTTAGTTTGAACAACCAAATGATGTAATAAACCATTAGTAACAAATAATTTGTAATATTTTATTGGTCATGAGTCAGTAATCTCAACATTAAACCCAGGTTAACCTAGGAACTGATAAAGTGTTGGTAATTCACCATTTGCAGACTTCCATGTACTGTATATAAAGTTGGGGCAAGTCCATAGATTGCTGACTTTAAAAGACTTTCAACTTCTATTTCTTTGTTTTTTACATCTAAAATAGCAAAATCTTCAACAAAATTGTCAATATCCATATCGATATCTTTAACATTAGTACAACCATTAAAATTGCTAATATTTAATTCAAGCTCATTGTGAAAACCGTGAGTGGAGAAAATATATGTTAACTTATATCTTCTCCACTCTCATCACAATCATTGTCACAATCCAACTAAAGTAATTTACCACCTCTTGCAAAGATTAAACTTTTTTATTGAACGCCATTTTTGAAATCCAAATAAAATAAAGCTGTTACAGTTCTGCAATATAAACCTGTATTATATATATCCGGCTAAGTGGTATAAAAATAATTTCGGTAGCTGGAAATATCCGGCAGACAGCAAATATAAAACAGTATATTTCCTCAGAACATAAAACAGTACTTTTTCAAGAAATCTTAAGGAGCCTATATTAAGAAGTTCTTGGACTATTTTTTACATTCCTTTGATAGAGATTTTTTTTTTTTATTAGTAGAACAAATAGTATATTATTGTTGGTAATTTAAAAAAGTTGAAAAAAAAGTAGCATATTTTTTAAGCTTTAGAAAAGATGTCAGTGTATTTCAGTTACTTAGGTTTGTCTATACAACTACCAAAGAAAATTAAATGTATATTTTTTATTAATATTTACACTGGCATTTTTTATTAATATTTACACTTGAGCACTGCATTGCTATTTGTATATCTGAGCATTGTTTATTGTCAAGGGTTAATGTCTATATTAACAAAATAAAAACAAGTTTTAGTGTCAGGTCAGGAGTATGGTCTTCATGATCATCCTGCTACTGGTAACATGTAACCCAGTGCAACCTGTTCCATGTTCTGCTGCTTTGCAGAATTTGCTTTCTAAGCAAAGGCTGGAAGGAGTGTTCTTCCTGTCATCAGTACTATCTTATATCAGTCATGCCTATAGTAATTTTTTTTTTTTATTTTTATTTTTTTCATAGAGTTGGAGGTGCCTTAGTTACTGTATTAGCTCACCTGTAATCTACGTTATATGTATGTTTGTGTTCTGTCTGAACCTCCGGCGCGGTGTTCGCTCACCCGTAAGTTACTTTATGTTCTTTATGTATGTCTGTGTTCTGTCTGAACCTCTGGCGCGGTGTTCGCTCACCCGTAAGTTACTTTATGTTTATGTTTATGTTTTTTATGTTTTTTTATGTATGTTTGTGTTCTGTCTGAACCTCTGGCGCGGTGTTCGCTCACCCGTAAGTTACTTTATGTTTTTTATGTATGTTATGTATGTTTGTGTTCTGTCTGAACCTCTGGCTCGGTGTTGACTCACCCGTAAGTTGATTTATGTTTGTTTGTGTTCTGTTTATACTCTAATGCAGTGTGAGCTCAGTAACTAACTACTTACTCCAACTACAAAACCTACACTCACCTTAGACTCATTTTGTTAGATGCAGTGTTTTTCCTAATGCACTTCCAAAATTTTTAAAAAAAGACTTTTTAAAAACCAGCCTCGAACCCCTTCTTCATCTATTAGGCTGGCGTAGATGTAACCTGTGTTACATTTTTTCCTGCCTAGGATGATGAATGCTGGATCTCCTTGACTCTACTCATAGAATTTTGCTTATGCCTCCTTGATAATGGCTATGCAACTCTTCCTGTTATCTCCATATGAGGGTACAGCTCTAAAACTCAGTTTAATGGTTCTGAGGCTGGCTGGTAGTAAGGTTTCTCAAACTCTGTGGTAGCTCTTAGAGAGGCTGATTCCATCAACAGCTGCAAAATATCAGAGTATTAAAAGTGCCATGTTGCGCATGGATGGTGTCCCTGTTAATGCTTTTGATGTGCATTGTCAAGGCCACATAAGGAGCCCTATGTCACAGCTTAGGGTTAATTAACAGGACTGAGACAACTGCATAGCTCACTGATTAGGAGGCTGTGCTCTATCTATGAATGAGTCAAGCTCTCATTAAACCCAAATCATGACCAAAGTAACCAAAAATTTTAAACCTAAAAAACCATCCCCACCACCTAAATATTTTAATATATCTTTTACAAATATTTGCGGTCTATGAAGCAACTTTCCATCAGTTGAGTCTTACCTCCTGCAAAATTCACCAGACTTGCTTGCACTCAGTGAAACAAATTTAAGTTCTGCAATTCCTTTTTCAGATGTCAGTGTTGATGGGTACTATCCTTTGATTCGTAAAGACTCCAATAGTCACATGCTAGGTTTAGGGGTATACATACGCATTAATTCCCCTATTTGTCGTGAAATCAGGTTCGAATCCTTTGACCATTCTTTTATGTGCTTTCGCCTAGCACCTCTTCACTCTATCACCTTTCTTTTTGCTCTTTATCGTTCTCCTTCTTCCCATGATTGCACTCTTTTAGATGTTATCTCTGATCAAATTGACCATGCCCTCTCTCTTTATCCCTCTGCCAATATTGTTGTTGTTGGTGATTTTAATGCCCATCACACTGAATGGCTTGGCTCTAACACCACTGATCCTGCTGGCACTAAAGCCTTTAACTTCTGCGTTTCTCAATCTCTTACTCAGATAGTTAACTTTGTGACTCGTTTTCCTGACAACCCTAATCATTTACCTTCACTCCTTGACTTATGTCTTGTCTCTGACCCTAGCTTATGTTCAGTTTCTCCCTTTTCTCCCTTAGGTGGTTCTGACCATGCAATGATCTCTATAAATCTTTCTTCTCGTACTTCTTTTTTGGGCTCACCTTATCATCGCATCATCTACTACTACCCTAAAGCTGACTGGGATTCCTTTCGTGATTTTCTTCGTGATGGTCCTTGGGCTGATGTTTTTTCTCTCTCAGCTGACAAATGTGCCTCCTATGTAACCTCCTGGATTCAGGCTGGAATGGAAGCTTTTATTCCTTCTTGTCGGTTTCAAGTCAAGCCTCATTCTACTCCATGGTTTTCTCCTTCTTGTGCGGCTGCTATATCCAATCGTAACCATTTTTTTCATCTTTTTCAAAAGAACAACTCTCTTGAGAACAAACGGCTATTTATTATTGCAAGAAATCTATGTAAAAAGGTGCTTTCTGATGCTAAACTCCATTATTCTCAGTTCACTAAATCTTGCATCTTATCGCAGAAGTTAGGCTCTAAAGACTTTTGGAAAATCTTCAACAGCATTGTTAACAAGGGTAGATTTAACATTCCATCTCTCATTCATGGGACTGATCTTATTACCTCTCCCAAGGATAAGGCAGAACTATTTGCAAAGAACTTTTCTTCTAATTCCACTCTTGAATCTTATGGACATTCTCTTCCTTCCATTCTAGTCAAACAGGTTGACCCATTGTTAGACATTCAAATCACTCCGGCTTCTGTTGCTAAAGTCATATCTCAATTAAACTCGTCTACAGCTTGTGGCCCAGACAACATTCCTGTCACAGTCTTGCAGAATTGTTCTCCAGAACTTTCTTCAATTCTCTCTAAACTATTTAACAAGTGTTTGACTGAGTCTTGTTTTCCTGCTTGTTGGAAAATGGCATCTGTGGTACCAATATTCCAAAACTCTGGAGAAAATTCTGACCCCTCCAATTATCGTCCGATCAGTCTTCTTTCTGTTATTAGAAAGGTCTTTGAGTCTTTGATCAACAAATTCCTCACATCTCATCTTGAGTCAAATAAACTACTGTCAGACAATCAATACGGTTTTCGATCCTCTCGCTCTACGGCTGACTTGCTAACTGCTGTAACTGAAAGATTTTATCGTGCATTAGATGGAGGCGGTGAGGCTAGGGCTATTGCTCTTGACATATCTAAAGCTTTCGACAAAGTTTGGCATCCTGTTCTTCTCCATAAGCTTGCTTCATATGGTGTTTCTGGGAATGTTTTTGAGATTGTCAAATCATTTCTTTCTAACCGGTTTATTAAAGTCATCCTTGAAGGCCAACACTCTTCTTTACTATTAGTAACTTCTGGGGTTCCCCAAGGTTCCATCCTGGGCCCTGTTTTGTTTCTTATCTACATAAACAATCTTCCTGACAACCTTCCATCTAAAGTAGCTCTTTTTGCTGATGACTCAACTTTATAATCCTGTCTTGACAAAAAGTCTTCTCTTTTCGATCGCCTAGAACAAGCAGCTGATCTTGAATTCGATTTCACTTCAGTAATAGATTGGGTTCACAGTGGCTTGTGAATTTCAACTCTAACAAAACTTAGTTGTTTACTGCAAACAACTACCGTAATATGGTCAACATTCCTATATTAATGAATGGCAATCCTCTTACTGAGTCCTCCTCTTTACGTCTTCTTTGATTATCGCTTACTACTGACCTTTCATGGAAACCATATATACAATCGATTGCTAAATTAGCTTCTGCTAAGGTTGCTTCTCTTTATCGTGCTCGCCATTTCCTTACTTCTGATTCCATTCTCTACCTCTACAAATCTCTTATTCGCCCCTGTATTGTCATATTTGGGCTGGTTCTTCTAACGATTCACTTTCTCTTCTTGACAAGGTCCAAAAACGCATTGTAAATGTTGTTGGACCTGGACTATCTGCTAAGCTTGAACCTCTTTCCCATCGTCGTAAGGTTGCATCTCTTTCTCTTTTCTACAAATACTATCATGGTCACTGCTCAAAGGAGTTATCATCTCTAGTTCCATCAACTAAAATTCATTCTCGTTTTACTCGTCATTCAGCTAAGTCTCATTTGTTTACTGTATCTGTCCCTGAATGCTCTAAAAACTTTTATTCATCTAGTTTTTTTCCCCGAACTTCTATCCTTTGGAACTCTCCCATCTTCATGTTTTCCTGACTCATACAACCTTCAACTTTTCAAGTCTTCTGTGAACCGTTTCCTTGCTCTATAACTCTGTTCTTTTTTTTCCTAGTAACTTAATAGTGGTTGCTTGCACCCTTGTTGGGAGTGAATGCAAATAAAAAAAGAAAAAAATTATAATAAATAAATTTATGTGAAAACATATGAGCATAATTAGTCAGGCCTTTATTAATAAATAAATTTATGTAAAAGTATGTAAAAACATGTTAATATAATTAGTAAGGCCTTCATTAATGTAACTAGCCCCATACCACTACTGCATAATTTTGGAAATATTTCTGAACTAATCAATCTCCTGTTTTTCTTATGGATTGCATTGGTAATAGGCCTGCATTTTAAATAGCCATGTAACAATGTTGAAAAATAATAAACAATATTATTAACCTTAAATAGTAATAATAATTTCAAATAAAATGTAAATATTAAACTATATATATCAAACAGTAATGTTAACATTAAACTTATAAAAATAGTAAGTCTATAATAAACCTTGATTTTTTCTTTTTGGAAACACTTTGTCCTTTTTTGCCATTTATATCTACAACAAAAAAAATTTAAAACAAAAAATGTAACAATCTATAAAATTTTAAACAAAAAATGTAACAATCTAAAAAATTTTAAAACAAAATATTTGGGATCCAAGTTAAAGCAGATTATAAATATTTGATCACAAAATGCAAGTTAAAGCAACTTATAAATATTTGGTGACAAATGCAAGTAAAAGCAACTTATAAATATTTGGTGACAAATGTTGAAACAACTTATAGGTATTTGGTGACAAATGTAAGTAAAAGCAATTATAAATATTTTATTATCTAAATTAATATATTTTTTACTTTATTAAAACTATTATGTTAAATAGGCAAAAAAAATAAAAAATTGTGATAAAGAAATCAAAGATTATGTTAAAAATAAGGTTGTTTTAAGAAATAAATAATAAGGAAATATAATCTTTTTCAAATATCATAGATTTCACCAGTAATTTTTGTTACATTATTTTGAATGATTTTCAATGCAGTTTACAATTTAATCTAATTACATGGTACTTTTAATTATGCTCATTTAATTTAACTTTTAAAGATGTAAATACGTATGAAAATAGCTGCGCTAAAGTTACATTTATAGTAGAATCCTGTTATTTCGGATTCTGAATGGGTATATATATTTTGTCTGACTTAGCGAATGTCCAAGTTAAGCAAAGCCTTTGGTATGTATAGATAATTCAAGGGAAATTGAAAACTTGTCCAACTTAGTAAAAGTCCATCCTATCCAAGGTACGAGTTAACAGGATTCTACTGTATTAGTGTTAAACATATTCGTTTGCAATAAAATTTATAACAATGGCTAAAGTAGTATACATTTTACATTTAAAATTAATTTTAATTTAAGTAAATGTGTATATTACTTTTTAGCTTCAGTAAATATTGATTACTTATTATTCCCTAAAAATAGTTAAATTGTTAAAAAGTGCTTGACAAAAAAAACTTTTTTTATTCATTAAAACTTTCTGAAAAAAATTTTATAAATAAAAATAAATGTTAGTTTGCTTACTTGACTGTACTTTTCTTCTATGCTTTGTGATCTCCACTTCGTTAATACCCTGAGAGTCAAAGTTCATAGATAAGCGTTTTCTTGTTGAACGAACACCATTTCTAACACTTTTTGCTTGTTTATGATCGTTGTTTATTGTAGAATCATTTGAGTTTCTAGGCTTTTTTCTTCTCTTTTCATCTAAACCTTATAGTTAAAATTTATTTTTATTTAAATACATATTAAAAAAACTGTAAACTGGAGTGGTTTTGCTTTGGTCTATTTTGCACCTTAATGTCTTGTGCATGAAAACCACAAATGTTATTTCCTGAAAAACCAAACAGTGCTAGAAGTGCATAAGAATGACAGTTAAAACTATTTGTCTCACAATTGAAAATGAATCAATTAAAGCATTTTTTTAGAGGTTTTAAATAGTGGGTTAACTTTGGCTCAAATTAGTAAAAATGGACTAAAAGATGCATTAAATCAATAACAATAGCAATGCTAAAGTACAAAAAACATAAATTTTCAAAAATAACATTTTAAAAAAGGTTTTGTGACAAACCTTACATAAAAAGTATATAAAAATGTAGGTACAAAGTCAACAAGTTATGATTTTGTCTAAATACTATTTTTTAATACGCCTAAAGTCATATTATTCTACAGGAAAGCCATGGAATTATTTATACCTAAAGAAAATTTTTTTTGTAGATATAAGTAATGGCTAGCCATCATGCTTTTTGAGATATGCCTGTTTAATCTTATCTCATTTTGTCATTTTGTAACTATTTGGTTGGTTTATTATATATAATTTTAGTCCATTTATATTTCTCTGCAAAGTCTTCTGAATTTTAATATTTATTTTACAGTTTTTATATTGTAAAAAAAATCTTTTGCAAATGTAATGCGAAATTCCGAAACATGTAAAGAATTATAAATATTGTGTTTTTTTTAAAGATGTAATTATATAATTGTACTTTAGATGTAACTATATTATTGTATTTTAGATGTAATTATATAATTGTACTTTAGATATAACTATATGATTGTATTTTAAATGTAATTATATACTTGTATTTTATATGTAATTATATAATTGTACCTTAGATGTAATTATATAATTGTACTTTACATGCAATTATATAATCGTGGTTTATATGTAATTATATAATTGCACTTTATATGTAATTATATAACTGTACTTTAATTATAATGCATTATTGTAATACTAAGTTAATCAATAAAACCTAAAAAAGAAATCAATTTTTATTTAGCTAAAACAATAGGTGTATTATTATTAATTTAATCATAAACATTTTTTTAAATAGTTTAATTGTTATTTCAATATATCTAGATTGTTAGTAATCCTCTAGCAAGGTAGCGTTTAATATAACGCTTAAAACAAGCTAACCTATACAGCACTTGCAATTCCTGAATTTATATTTACAAGATTTATATGAAAATAATTTCTTTTAAACATCAGGCTTAACTTGTTAACAAATTATGCAATATCCAATAGGTGCCCAGATCCATTAAATTTCAACTTTGCAACTATGTTACTTTATCCTTTCCCTCTTCCTTATAAAAATGATTCTATCAATAATTTTAAAACATTTTTAACTTGCATTCAGCTGAAACAGTGTATAATTATCTTAAAAGTTAGTTTTACAAAATTGATTTCAATTTAATTGTTTTTTATATATGTTTTTTATATATTTTTTATAAATTTATTAAATAATTTTCTTTATTCATAAAATAACATATAATTAACATTTAAGTGAATAAAGTCACTCCCATTTTTTAAATTGTTTTTTAATTTTATCATGGCAATTATCTCCTCCACGCTTTCTATACAAGCTAAAAAAAATTTTCAGATCAATTTGTAAAAGGACCTTTTTGCATTGTTTTTTATAAAAAATTTTTTGGTAAACCCAGACACAATGCAAACTAATATACTTGATTTACAAAGTTAAAACAATCCAATTATATTTAATTTATTTATACGTAATAAACTATCTACCTTTCTTTGGTTCCATCAACAATCGAACTTCTCATATACAACTTAATACAATAAGTGTTTTTAAAAAATATTTATTTTCACTATTTAAATTTTCTACTATTAATAATAGTATTATTTACTTGTATTTTTAACATACAAATTATTAGTTAGAGCTTAAGAACCCTCGGCATTTTTTGATTTCATACAAATTATTACATAAATAAATTAACGCTGAAAAATTAGAAGTACTAATAGTTTTAACATCTAATAGTTTTAATTTTCTTTTTAGTCAAACTTTCTCTAAGACTTTTTCTAATCGAGTTTAGTTTTTATTTATTTTACCCGTCGATTGTTTACGAATTGTTTATGGTAAAAAAATGTTTACGACAAAATGGTGTCCTTTTTTGGAAAAAATGGACTTTTATCGTCCCCCCCGACCCTTCAATTATAAAAATTAGTTCTTTAAGCTTTTGTTTAACTGAAAAGTAGTTACTTTGATAAATAAAATCCTCAATAAAATTTTTTAAAACTATTTATTCCATAAGAATGGTCTGCGATAATCAATAAAAGATTTAAAAAGATTTGTTTGAAAAATAGGCTGCTTAATAAAATTATCATTGCGTAAAATGTATTAATTTTTATTGATGATGGATACAAATTATGGAAAGAAATCGGGGATGAATTGGTTTTACACAAAAGCATAAAACAAAGAATATTAAAAATGTTATAATATTATATAGTTTTTAACATATATGCTTAATTAAGCTCTTATATATGAAAAATTTTCATTTTAAATAATAGAGGCTTGGCATGAGTATAACGGTCTTTAAAATATATAAGACGTCCCAGCCAGTACAAACACGTGTTTTTAGAATCTAAAATGTTAACACCTTTAGACGTCTAAATTCATATAACTATAAAACATCTAATTGTATTTATCTTTGAGACGACGAATCATAGTCTCCAGCCGTCTAAAAGATGGTTACTAATAGATGTGTATATTTATCTGAATTTTAGACATCTAAAAGTATTTACATTTTAGGTGCGGAAAAAAAACGTCTAAAAGACGCGTTTGTGCCGGCTTGGGTGCTACATGCTTCTGCTGAAAATAAAGAGGTTTAAGTTTATTTGTATTTGCACTAACCCAAGCAGTGTTTGCATAGTATATCAGACAACGAAAAAATGAGTAATATAATTGTATTAAAGTTTGTTTATTTAAAACATTTCTTGCTTTGTACAATATTTCTATACTTTTTGAAATTTTACTTGATAAGTTTTTAATGTGATTTTTCCATGTATGATTTTCATCTATACAAACACCTAGAAAGTTGGTTACTGTTACTTGTTTAATTTGTATATTGGCAATAACAAGTTGAGGCATGTCAATTGGCAATTTATAATTTTTGATGAGAGAATAAAAGAGTTTATTTAGTTTTATCAATGTTAAGAGATAATTTGTTAGTCTTAAACCAGTCAGATATTTTGATTAATTCGATGTTTGCGTAATGAAATAAAGTAGGAATGCTTTTGTGAGACATAAATAAATTAGTTTCATCTTCAAACATAATTGTTATTGATTTCGAGGTTTTGTGTAGATCAATAATATAAATAAGGAAAAGAAGAGGTCCTAATATGGATCCTTGAGGAACTCCACATGTAATATTTAACAAATTTGATTGAAATGTTTTATTGGCGTATACAAGTTATTTACAATTAGTTCAACAATTTTAAAATATTGCCTGTTATGCCATAATACTTTAATTTTTTAGCAAGAATTTTATGTTCAATGGTTCAAACGCTTTCGCTAAATCAATAAATATTCTCAATGTGAATTTAAAATTGTTAAATGAGTTTGATATACTTCTTGTAAGCTGAATAATAGCATGCTCTGTTGAATAATTTTTTTGAATCTATATTGCATGTTATATAACAATTTGTTTGCCAAAAGGTGATTGTATATTCTAAAAGCCAAAAGGTGATTGTATGACTTTCCAAAAGATGATTGTATGAATTGCCAAAAGGTGTTTGTATATTTTGTTGTACAAAATTCTTTCTAAAATTTTAGAAAAAACAGGGAGGATAGAAATTGAACGATAATGTTTTACATTAGTTTTTTCTCCTTTTTTAAATATAGGAATAATATTTGCTATTTTTAAATCATCAGGAAAAACTCCTCGATTAATAGAGCATTTAAAAATTTGGAAAAGTATGTCTTTTAAACCGTCAAAAAAACTTATAATATTCCCATTGACATAATAAGGACCAACTGCTTTATTTGTCTTTAACAATTTAAAAGTACCTTCAAATTCTTCAAAAGACAAATCAAAATAATTTAGATACGAGTTTAGAGGGTCGTATGTTGCCTTTATTAATTTTTTAACGTTTGGAATTTTTTGGCTAGGTTTGGTCCTACAGATATAAAATATTTATTAAATTTGGAAGTAATTGTTTTTTGATCAAGAAAAAGATTGTCATCTACTTTAATAACTGGAGGGCAAAGATTGCAACATTTTTTTGTGTCATCAGTAATTTCGTTTATTAGTTGCCAAGTGCGTTTTGAGTTTAATTTGTATTTTTCAAATAAATCAGTATAGTATATATTTTTTTAATTTTTCCTTAGGCGTTCCAATAATCTTACGAAATTTTTATAGATGGCCTTACTCTCAGTTGTTTTTGATTTAAAATATTTACTATAAAGTTTTTGTTTAATTTTAGAAGATTTTAAAATACCTTTAGTAATCCATGGCGATGTAATTTTTTATTTATTTGTAATTTACTTCTACTTTGGGAAAATTGATTTCATAAATTTCGTTAAAAAATTTAAAAAAAAGATTTGTATATTAAATTAATGTCTTCAGAAAAGTTAATAATATCCAACTAATTGAAGTTAGTTGGTATATAAAAGATTCTAGGTTTTTATTATGAAAATTTTTTTTTTTTAATGATTTTTTTTAATTATATAAAATTTTGGCATAAATATCTATTGAAAAGAAAATAGGGAAATGATCAGATATGTCGCTTTTAATGATGTCTTTTTTTAAGCGAATTATTAAAAATATCGTTGGTTATAATGTTATCAATTAAGGAAGTTGTTATTTGAGCAATTCTAGTTGGTTAGTTTATTAGAGGAACTGCTCCTTTTTCAAATAGGCTATAATAAAACCCCTTAATTTCTTTTTTGACGTGATAATCAAAGCAATTTTAATTCAGATCACCTAATATGTAAAGTAATTTCTTTTCGCGGTTGCTCTTGCTTACAACATAATCAATGTAAAAATGTACTAAAAGTTTTAACTTCGCCAGTAGGTGGGCGATAACAACAGCTAATCGCAATGTTTTTAGTTTCATTGTTAATATTTCAATCGTTAAAACCTCTTTATTGACGTTAGAAATACTCATGTCATGCCTTATATAATACCGTTGGTTTTCTTTTATATAAATAATTAATCCATCGCCGCGTTTATTTGTTTTCCGTCCAAATGAAATCAAATTATAGCCTGATATTAAAAAATTATTATCTAAATTTGAGTCATCAGAACTACACCAAGTTTCAGTTAGGCATGATACATTAAAAATAGTTAGATTTTCCTCAAAACTATCGCAAAGTTTTTCAAAATTTTTTTAAAAATTTTGAAAATTTATATGAATTGCATTAAATTTATCACGCTCAAGAAATTTTTTTATTTTTTTATCTTTTTTAATTATTCACCTCCCCAAGGCCCGAGGGGGCCACTACAGTCGAGGAGGCTACTTTTTTTTTTTTTTTTTTTTTTTTGTATTTTCTTCTTTAAGATTTAATAGCTTAATTTCCATTTTATCAAACTTCCCGATAAATATTTTTAATAAAGTATTCTTATGAATTTCTAATAGTTCTTTAATTTGAGAAACGGTAAATTTAGCCATTTTTAATTTAGCTTACAAAAGCACGTGCGTTCGCGTCAAAGGTATTTACGTTTTCTCTTCGACTAGTAGTTTTCCAACATCTAACAATAGATGTTCGAACATCTAACAATAGATGTTCGAACATCTAACAATAGATGTTCGAACATCTAACAATAGATGTTCGAACATCTATATTTTTTCCCAAGCTTAAATGCTCAACACGGGTAAACCATAGATGTTTAAGATATTTTTATAAATTAGATATTTTTTTATAAACTTAAGCCATAAAAATGAGTTTTTGACTGTAACCGAAAATTTTTGGCATTCTCTTTGTTGAAATGAAGAAAAAGACAATAGTTTGGAAGACTTGGGGAAAAAACGTCAAATTTTGTCGTAATAAATGCTTAAGTTGTGTTAATGACTTGTCTGTCACAATTAAAGTCACAATTGAGGAACAAAAAACAAAATGTAAAGTTGCATTTATTAATTTACTTATCAGCTAAAAACAGAGCTAGTTGAAGAAATTATGCACTGTAGTCTTTTTTATTTCAAAATTATTTATAAATTGATTATTCGTACTTTATCTACGACCCACCAACATGACAACATGATATGACCGATCGATTGTATTTTTGACAGCATGACAAGGATTTGTGACGTACGTCACTTCTTTATTTTTATATGATATCTTTTTTTTTCAAGCTATAATATAAACAAGCCTATTTCTCTCTTTCCCCATCCTCCACAGCTGCAGAGCTACTAGCACACATACATTGTGCCAACTTAAACCATCGCAATGATCGGTTGTTTTACAATTTTTATTCATCGATCACAAGTATGATCATTTACTCAGATCACAACTTTAATATAGTTCACTAAAAGACTTTGCTTGAAAAACGAACTTTTTAATATTAATCTCAAGGACCTCGTTTATGGAGTTTAATTATTGAGGCAGAAAAAAAGCATATGAAACAAATAAAAAAAAAAATTTTTTCTAAAGTTAAGCAGCTTTTACTAGACTTAACTGACTCATGTTTTTGTTTTCTAAAAATCTTCATTGAAACAAAATGAGTAAAATAGTTACTACATTATTATTTGTATTATATTGTTTGTATATTTTATTATTTAATTTATACACCTGAGCGCAGAAGCTCCTTAACACTGATTTAAATTGATTTACACTTTATTGTATTTCACTGATTTACAGTTTATTGTATTTCACGACTTTTTATAAAATTTAACCACTAGATGGGCTCGATGATAAAATTCTAGTCTTCTACTAGTTCCAGTTAAAAAAAAAAACCCTCATTTTTCTAATACAGCATTAATTTCTATTACGTAAATAACTTTAAAACTGGTAGGTTTATATTATAAATGTATTATAAAAAGGTATTATAAATGCCGAATTACTTCATATCTAAAAATACCATGATCAACTGTAATGAGCTCTTTAGAATGATTGATAAACTTATCAACTGTGTCGAACACTTTAGAGAGAGCAAGATATTGATCAACACATCGAATACTTCGGAGAGATTGATAAATTGATTAACTCTAGAGCACTTAAGAGAGATAAATATTTATAATCTTTGTTTTACCACCAAAAAAATTTAGAAAATTATAATTTTGTTAACCAAGTTATTACCGGTAAAAGAAAGGGTAAGCTAATATATCTTTTTTTTCGTTACTGAGTTTATAACAACATGTGATAACCGTTCAAACATTATTATCTATTGAAGGCATTTTTTCAAGACATTTATCACAACTTTATTTTTAAGATTTTGAAATTCTAAAAATTGGTAAAAGCTTGCTTTTCAAACACTATGTTAATTTACGAAGTTTATGTCACTTATTTTGGGCCGCGGGTTGCTGGTACACCGCTTTGAATTTGCAATATAGTAATGCACTTATTAATAAGTCATTTAATGACAGGTATCTGATTACCTATTAAGGTAGAAATTTATACACATCTGATTACCTATGAAGGTAGCTGAAATTATCGAATAATAAATTTTCGTGTCAATATTAAATAGAAAAACGCCTGAAAATAATTTGCCTAACAGATTCAGTCAAGTGAAAGAAAAAAAGAAAACAGATAAAAAAACAACATCTATCATTTATTAAATAAATAATTAAAAATATATACACGTTAAATTAAAAGAAACTATTCCAAAGATATTGAATAGTATATAAATAAAATTACTGGGATTACGCAATTGCAAACTTATATCATACATTGTTTTGTTTACTATACATTGACTGTTTTTGAACCATACATTGTCGCTTTTTTTGTTTTAAAATTTAGTAAATCATTTAAAAAAATATTTGAAAATCCAAGGATTTGTTATAAAAATTCTCGCCAGAAGTCTAATTTGTTTTACAAGGTCCATTAAAAATATGGATAAAATCGATGAGTAATAAGGATATCAAGAATTAAGCTTAGGTATAAGATCCTTCGGTAACAAATCTTGACCGACATCTATAAGTTTGGTATCAATAACATGACAATCGATTTGCAGCATCTTCACAACTGTGTTGTTTTTATTTGAAGCTAAAAATAAAGCATAACTTATAGGTAATCAAAATGAATTTAAAACTTTATGTGATTTATAACAGTAACAACAAAAGCAAGAAGTATATAACAATAATAAGATTACTAAAAATAATAAGGTTATTAACAATAAGGTAAGTATAACCGTAATACCAAGAAAGAAAAACTAAAAAAAAAAATAGTTAAAAACAAAGCATAAATTAAAATATATTAAAAGCAAACAAGCAACCATTAACACCGCTAGAACTCTAGACGACAGTGAATCGGAAAGGAAAAATATATATATATATATATTATCAGATTTAACATGTGAAAAATAAATACTAGCGTATTTTGGGGTCAGAAAATGCAAACTTATTATTAAAAATAAAATTTGCGAGAACGTAATGGCACGTAAATGACACTAATATGCGTATGCATGCGCATACGCGTGTTAATGTCATTAACGTGCCTAGCCAATGCTTAATATAAGATTCCTCGATCCAAAAAACTACATAATTTAATACCTCGTATTATATAAATAAATTTACTACTTTGTTGAAAAATATTTTATATATTCAATTACCCTTGAATAACTCTTATATAACTATACAACAAAAAGTTAACTATATAAGAAAAATAACTATATAAGAAAAAGTTATATTATTATTCTAAAAATTATACAACTATTCTAGAACTCTACTTGCAGAAAAAAATTCAAATACCGAAAAATATTAAAACGAAATTGTAAGACAAAAAAAAGATTCGATTTCCGTCAAAAATGAAAAGTTTAAATATTTAAGAGATTAGTAAAATCTAATTGAAGATTTTTCAGATTACTAGATTTTGTTGACAGCGATTGTCAACAAAATTTAGTTCAATCAAATTTAGTTCAAAAAGTGATGACCTACAACACGTAGAAATTTTTGACATCAAAGTTTTTTTACAAATAAGTTATTATTAAACAAAGCTTGCATATCAATTAAAATATTTTCAAACACACGAGACAATTAATTACATAAAATGCATTAATATTTCCCAAAAGTTAGAGTTTTATTGGTAATGAAATGCTTACTGAAAACAGTTAGCAAAACAAAAAAAACTTTGTATTTAAAAGCCTTTACTAGGGTTCCACAAACATTATATGATTGCTAGTTCCACAAACATTATATGATTGGGAGGATAGAGTATTACCAAAAGCATTTACTAATTTACAATCTACATTTACTAATTTACATATTAAAATTAATTTGAACTTAAAAGTGATGGTTATATCAAGTTTATCTTGGTTGGATGGTTATACCAAGTTATCATCTATATATCAGGTTCTGTTATATTTATCAAGATATATATATCAACATATCAGGTGCTTGTTTCAAATTTACCTCAAACTCGCCCAGCCTATTCATTTCAGCTGTCCCTCTTCATTTCTTCATTAAGCCCTCATTAAGCTGTCCCTCTTCATTTCTTGTCAAATATTTTGTTTCTCTTTGATATTGGAGATCTATTGTAACGCGTACTTGAGGGTTTCTTACTTAAACAGTTTTCTTCATGTTTATTTTGTTTTTTTTCGTGATGACTGATAAACTTTTCTTGTTAATTTGGGCCTGGCCAATAAAAATAGGCTAAATTGGTGTATTTGTATTCATATTGTATTTGATTAAAAAATTTCTTAAATATTTCGTCGCGTTGGTTTGGCAAGGTTCTAACTGATTTTTTTTATATTAGGAGAATAGCAAATAAATAGTTTTTTCTTTTTTTTATTTATTGCTTAAATAAAAATATTTATATAGTTTTTTTTATTTATGTATTTTTATAAATCAACCAAAAAAAGAAAAAAACAATAATATAAATAATTTTAATTAAACATTAAAAAAAGTGAAAAGATTTTTTTCTAAATTCTACTTATATAAAAAATTTCAGTTACAACCTAGTCAAACCAACGCGACGATTTGTATTTGATTGAAATGTTTTTGTAATTCCATTAACTAGGTTAAGCGGTATTTTTTTTAGGGGAAAAACAAGATGTTTTTTTCTTCGCACTTTTAACACTAAAATAAGTTAAAAATTTGTTTTCAAGAGATATTTATTAAAACACTTGTTTTCATTCTTCCATATAGTATACCATTTTATCAGTATTGTCTTGAAAAAATCTTTGTTTTATTTTTTAAGAGGGCATCAATAAGTACATACACAGTAAAACAACTGATTTAGGACCTTCTTTCCTTTGTACGCACCTGTATGCTTACAATGACCCTCCCCTAGACTCTGCATACAACATTTATAATTAGACATTTCTTAGTTACATAACATTATATTGATTTTTTTTTTGTTTTTACACATCTATATTTCTTACTTTAAAATGTTATTTTTTGTAACTTTTAAAATTCAGTCAAAAATACTTATTTATATTTCATAATTTATAATAAAACATAAGGCAATTTTGGTATATAACTTTCCTGGTTCTCTCTCTTTTTTTTTTTTTAAATTATTCAATTGAAATACTGTTTCTTTTATTATTGTAATAAGTTTCTTTTATTTCTAAAGTTTTGTATGTATTTACTGTTTTGTATGTGTTTTTCGTGTCTGTTTTGTCTATGTTTGTATGTCTGTTGGGTATTTATTGTTTATTAGATATGTTAATTTTTAAATAAAAACACCTACGTATTTACCATTTCAAAAATTTCATAACATAACAATATAACAAAAAAACAGCATAGCTGCAGAACAAGCAGCATCATCTACCATAACTGTTAAAAATGCTTCACTTGAAGGTACAATTTCGCTTACTCAAGGTAAAGCTTTCAAATCAATCTAGATAAAAAAGTGCTTAAAATTTTCCAAGTATTATTTAATTTCAGGTTTACCATTATTAATCATATAATTAAAAACATAATTTTTAATGGTTTCAAAATTAGTCAAACTTGAATTAAGAAATAACTTTTCTTTCTCAGGGCCCTCCAGCGCAAAACAAAAATTCTCATAACTTCTCATTCTCATACTTCTCATAATTCTCATAGATTCTCATACAAGTTTAAACTAATACTAGATTTTTTAACTCTGAGAATGAAAAGTTAACATCAAGTTTGAACCAAGTATTAGCTGTCAAAATTACTGAACCAAACATTCATTCCAAGTTTCTTGTAATTGGAAAATCTCTAGTTAATTTCTTCATTCAAACAGACATTCTCACTAAGCAAGGATCACAGAATAGTTACAAAATAGTGGTTATTGAAAAAAAATTACCTGAATAATGAAGATTTTTTATTAAGTAAAGTGTTTAGCACTATCCTTTAATCAAAGTCTGAATTGATGGTAGAGGGTTTCTGAAATTTTTTTATTGAGAGCTATTGAGGAATAGATGACAGCAGTTATCCTCCACTAAAGAAAAACCTGACATCCAACACATCCAGCGAAAGTGGTTACAATTGTCAGCTAATTATTGCCAGAGCAAAGGATTTGTTTGAAACCTATTTGAATATCAAACAAAAAAATTTCTTCTGATTATTCCAAATCCCAATTATTTGGTCATTTCTTGTGACATGAAGTGAGCCAACATTCTAAGTAGACTCGTCATAACATCCCTGCGTCAAGTAATTTTGCTAAATCAGGAAGACTTCATTCATTTGGTTCTCTTAAAGTATCCTACCAAGCTTTTGAAGCTGTTAAAAGTGACTTGAAGATAGCAAAAGAATTTGGAAATGTTGTTCAACCCCCTATACTTGCTCAAGTTATGAGCACCTGGTATTAGATCTCTTTCCACAAAATTGCATTCATTGAAAGTTGTCAATCATTATTTCAAGATCTTAAGATAAGTGGTTTGAGGATTAACACATAAAACCACAACATTACAGCTTGCTTTGATTCTTGCTGAAACTTTTTCAGGAAAAAACATGTTTAAAGATTTGTTTTTGATAATTACATCTAAAAGTGTAACAGCAAAACTGTTTGCTGTTATTTTCCATCTCAGAGACTTCATTCAAAGGAAAAAAAATTATTGGGAGTCTACAGTGAACCAACAACAGAGGCTGTTCACCATCACTATTACCAACACTGGCAAAAATACAAGAGACCCACAACACATCCAGAATATTGGAAACAACTGCAAATGTGCTTGGTCAACATCAATAGCAAGCACATGTAATATCAGTTGCAATTTTTTAATCAGTTTGAATTTAATACAATTTGTTGTTAATATCTTGCTTAGTAGAATAGTTATGCTTAATTTTTAATAGTTTTAATTTTTGAATGTTGTAAAATGCATAAAAAAAGAAAAGCTGTTAATTAGTTTGTAGATGTTTTTGTGATTTATTTTCCGAGAAAAAATAGTTAGAATTCAAAACTTATATTTTTGTGATCCTGACATCATGGGTTTTCATTGTTACCATGTTAATTTTCTGTTTAAGCAACTGATTTTTCTTTTTTCTGCTTTCATATACACTTATCAATGGGAAAATGTTAAAATTACCATGAAATCTAGTGAAATTTCTTAGCTTTTTAACTGAACTCATAATTGAACAAATTTTAAAAAATCAACTCAGGGTACTTTTCTAAGATCTTAGAAATGACTCGGTGTAGTTAAGGCAATTTTAAAATATCATCTGTATAATATTTTGTTGACTACGACATAATTCCAATAAATGATCAGATTGAATTGATCTGATCAGATCATCTGTTGATCTGATCTCGATTGATCTCGATTGATCTGATCTCGATTGATCTCGATTGATCTGATCTCGATTGATCTGATCTCGATTGATCTCGATTGATCTGATCTCGATTGATCTCGATTGATCTGATCATCCATCAGATTGAAATGATCAGATGTGAATTATGAAAAGACGAAAAAAATTAAAATGATAAATTTTGCGGTATCATAAAGTATAAACGTTTATAGCAATAAAACCCACACTGAAGATTCTTTTTTTAAAAAAAATCATCTTAAAATCACAATCGCTTGTCCAAATTTTAATAAGTTTTTAAATAAACACGTTTTTTTAGGTGAAATGAACATTATAGTTCAACAATATGATCTGTTCTGATCGTTTATTGGCAATTATTCTTAATTATAAGCTATTTCTTGGTCAGAATTCTAGTATTTTTTGTGAAAATTGAAAGAAATATTGTGTTTTGACAACTATATATAGTTAATATACGTCAGAACTGATTAGAACTAAGATCAACAGTAAATTAAGGAGCTTTTTCAAATTTTTTTTTACTAAATTCATGTTAACGGCGATGAACGGAATTGATCTAAAGACTTCAAAATGGTGTTCTTTAGATTAAATATTACAGGTAGTAAAAAGATTTTGAAAATTATATAAAAAAAAAGAAAAGTTTCTTTAAATATTATAAAAACCTGAAGCAAAAAAAAATTATAACATTTAAAGATCTTGTTTGGACATAATATGCTGACGAAACCATGCTGATTCCAAATAAAAGAATTTGAATATTTTGGAAATCGTCTTAACTACACCGAGGACTAAGATCTAAAATCTAAATGTAGTTTCAAAAATATTGTTCATAGTTATCAATTAATTTGTACATAATTATATTGTACATAGTTATCTTAAACATACGCCAAAGTAAATTTTGAATTTTTAACCATATCATTTTTTCATATCACACATTTTGTGTGAGTTTCAGAATTAAAAAAATTTCAGAAAAAAGATTTCAGAAAAAAATTTCAGAAAAAAGTTGACAAACCTTTGAAAAAATAATAAAAAAGCAACTAATTCCTCTGGTGGTATTAGCTGCATTATAACTCTGGTGGTATTTGCATTATAATTCATTTTATTACTATGACAACAGGACTCTATACATGGACAAGTTATTTATTACCTCTAAGTTAAACCCATAAGTTATTTTTTTTTTTATACTATTTATGTTGGCATACTTAATTTTTATTTTTTGACATTTAATAATAAAATGTACTTGTAAACAATTTCATTTAATCAATTGAAAAGCAACACTTACCATTTATATTACTGTAAGCCATGTAAGCTGGTAACATAAATGTTACTTTTGGCCTTTGTATAGAACTATAATTGGTTGCAGGCAACATCATGTAGTCCTAAAAAATATAAACAAAGGATGATTTAATATACCTAAAAGTAAAAAAACCTCCTTAACATAAAAGTCTAATAAAAAGTTTAATTAGGTATAAGTTTTGGAATAAATAGAAATGAAAAAAAATAATTTATTTACATATAAGTTTTAAAGTTGATAAAAAAAAAAAATAAAAATAAAAAGATATATATTTTAGATAATATTTTATAGTAAATAAAAAATTGTTCTAATTAAACTGCTTTTTTTTTTTTTTTTTTTTTTAATAAAAATCAACATTTTTATTGAATTAGGAGTTTTCTAATATCTTCAGTTGGCACTTGAGGGCTGGATTTTTCCAAAAAAACATAGTTTCTGTTAAAAATAAATGGCAAGTTCCAATTTTTATTTAAAATAAATAAATTTTGTTAATGCTTTCACTTGTTGTTACTCGTATAATAATTAACAACTTCAGATGGAACAATAATTGTAAGTTATGTCACCAATTACATCACTATCATCACAACTTCAGATCAGATCATTTATTTACTAAAAATTTGGATAAATAGCAGAAAACTTTCTTTATTATTCAATCTTCATTTCCACATTCTGATGACTCACTTATTTGGAATCTCATACTGTTTATTTAGACACAGACCACAAACAAAAACGAAACAGATAAGATAAAAATGAACAAATGAGATTACCATTAGTATCTTTACCACAAGCTTGTGATAGAGTAGGTGTTTCAAGCATAGGTTGCATTTATAGCATGTGCAGTACTTGAAGATATGAACATAATTTCAAAAGACCAATCGATTTAAAGAGAATAAAAGAAAAACAGACTTAAAATGCAACATTTATACCAGGAAAAAAATTTAATGAATCTTCCATCAAAACACAAATGTTAAAAGATTTGTATTTTGATGGAAGAACAGATACAACATTGTTACTAACAAAGAGAAAAATATACGGAAAGCTACCAAAGAAGAACATGTAGTTTTAGTACAGGAACTAGGGTCAAAGTATTTGGGGCATGTAGTGACAGTATCAGGACATGGATACAGCAATAAGACAAGTGTAAGCACACTTGTAACTTAAAACAATATTGATACAAAATAGTTATCATGGGTTGTGATGAAACAGTTATAAATACCAGGTTTCTAAATAGTGTTATGACTTTATTTGAATTGGAACTAAAAAGACAAGTCTACTGGTTTATCTGTCAAATACATGCAAATGAACTGCCTTGATGCATCTAATTCAAAAACTTAATAGACCTACATCAGTACCTAATAGATGGTCTGGACCAATCAGAAAAGAAAAAAAAATTTGTGATACTTTGCCAATAGTCAATTACATTACTGTCAGTGTCACATTGCCAGAAATAGACAAAAAATCTCTTAGTTCTGACCAAAAGTATTTACTTGATATATGCATGACAATATCTACAGGTTATTGCTTATCTGGTTTGGCTAACAAAAATCCAAGAAACCATGCCAGGTGGGTGACCACTGCAAACAGAATATTGCGGTATTATATGGGATGTAGCGAACCAACACATACACTGAAAGAAATTATGGAATTCGTTGTTTAAGTTTATTGCCAAATGACGTTCTAAAGAGACATTTATGGCTAACTATTAATTTATCTAGGTATGCCAGTAGAGACATAACTATCATCAATCCAGTGATACAAAAGAATGCTTTTTGTGCATCAGTATATATACATAAACATGCTTCTTGCTATGGTATCAAATACTCTCCCACATGTGAGAAAATTGGCGTTACTACAAATAATGAAAGCAAGGTTTATGAAAACAAACAAAGCTCAAAAGAAACCAGAAATTAATTTTGAAGCAAAAGATTACATTGACTGAAATGATTGGGAAAAATGTGAACTCAATGAATCTTTAATTACTGCTCACATCTCAGATGAAAATTTAAAAAAAAAAAAACATTCTTTGCCAACTGAAGACATAAAAATTTTTTAAAAAAACTCGGCACAATTACTATTTATATTATTATGCAACTTTTCCGCTTTATTATAATTTGATAATAAAAAAGTTTTTTTGGATACATCTTGATAATATGCATTTCTAAAAAACATTTAATTTTACAATATGAGCATTATTTCAATAACTTTTAAATATGGTAATTATATATTAAAACAAAAATTACAGAATTCTACATTTCTTTATAAAAAAAAAAAAAAAAAAATTACTTTGTTTATCATTATGCAAAAGCTAAGAATATAGTTGAAAGTATCATCATAATTGTTATGTATAAACTATATTATGAAAATGATTAAGAGAGTGGCACACAAAGAAGATCTCTGAATATATCTTTCCTATCAGTACCAATAATATATGTCATTAATTTGACATTTTGATGCTCCATATTTCTTAATAATACTTAGCAAGTTTTAAAAAAAAAAACTATATGAAAGTGATTAAAAAAAAAACTGTATATGCAAATAATTTGTGTATTTGTATAAACAAAAACTCTCTACAAAATTTTTTAATAATGACTACTCAAATACAAAGTTTAAAATTTTTTTTTTTTGTTAATGCCTCTGTTTGAATTATGTCTATATATTGTATATTGCCTATATTAGTGTCTTTTGGCTAGCTTAAGCTAGAAAAACTCATAATTTTTCATTCATATGTATGAAAAATTATTTAAAAGTGATAAACTGCTTGGCCATGGAAAAAATGAAAATATTGTTGACCATTCACATTCAAACACGTTAAACAAAGCTTTACTCTTGTTCAAACACACAATATCAACTTTTTTTAATAAAATGTATCATTTTTCTTGTATCATAGAAAATTTAGTTTAGTTAATAAACTGTTCTTTATTAAATCTGATTATATCATCATTTAATGCCAATGAGTATATAAAATATCTGTTTCATAAGTTGATTTTCCCCAATTATTCTCTGTGCACCCCTTGATATAAATAACTAGGCAGAAAATGTTTCTTACCTTCAATGTAAAAAGATAAAAAGTATCAGCTTTTCTAATGATAGTTTTCTGTATAGCATTTACAAGTCTGTTAAAAAAAAAAAAATTGTTAAAAAAAGTTAATTATACATTATATATAGATATAAAAAAAGAATATATAAATATAATAAATAATAAAAGAATATAATAAATATAATAAATAATAAAAGAATATAATAAATATAATAAATAATAAAAGAATATATAAATATAATAAATAATAAAAGAATATAATAAATATAATAAATAATAAAAGAATATAATAAATATAATAAATAATAAAAGAATATAATAAATATAATAAATAATAAAAGAATATATAAATTTAATAAATAATAAAAGAATATATAAATATAATAAATAATAAAAGAATATATAAATATAATGAAAAACATATACTATAACTCAGTATATACTTTACTAAAAATCTCTCAGTATATAATCTATACTAAAAATCTATGTAACTGCTAATAAATTTTGAAATTATGGAGCATACAACACACTACACAACATGTAACATCACATTCTATAAACTTACTCTTGGGAGGTGTTATTCATAACATATTCATCTCTTCTCTTTTTTTCTTTTTCTCTGTAAGGTAAATTACGCTGTGATTGTTTGTCATTGTAAATTACAATGACAAACAATGCAATAAGTTATACAAATTTACTAATTACTTTAATAAAATTAAAAACCTCAGCAGCTTTAAATATGAAGATTGCGTCAATGGGGAGGTTTGATTGCAACTCATTCCTGTATTATTTATCAAGTTTTTACCTCTGGCTGCTATATTTGTAGACTAAAATTCAAACTTAAAAATTAAAAAATTAAAAATTTTAGTTTAAATACATACATATTACATATAATTCAGTATTGCACAATTTTTTTTTAAGTAGAAACAATCATACATAACATGGATAATGTCTTGCATTCTTTATTTTATTCGATTTTTTGATTGTGGAACTGTGAACTAATTGTTCTAAAGACTCTGTAATTCTAAAACATACATTTTATTTAAAAGAATGAGAACTTGCAGTTTTAATTACCACAAATGAAATTCTCACCTGTTTACATCTGTTTCATTAAAATGCTCGCCACAGTCAGCTTCAGTTTCATGTAAAGTTACTGACGGTTTTTTTTTTACAGTTTGAATTTTTTTTAGTAGCTTATTTGTAACTTCTTTTTTATTTACTGAAAACGAAAGTTGCGCTTTGAATTCCTCATCAACATTTTTTGCATTGTGGAATATATTTTCATTAAGCTGGATAATCTTTGAATTTCTAGCTTTCTCTTTTTCATCATAACTTTCAAGAGGGGGAAAGAAATTTAATGTGTTTGAGTTGTCAAATTGTAGTAATGTCCTACTTCGATGCATTGGTAACAATGATTGAACTGGCTGTCCAGGTAATACTTGGTTCACATTAAATAACCTAAACAACAAATAATTATACTAAACAGTTAATAATGAAAAGAATTTTATTTTTAACAGATTATAGATAGCAGACTAAGAATATCAAACCAACTAAGAATACTGAAATATTTACTCTTTACAAATTATTAAAAGTACAAAAAATGCAAACTTTTGAATACTTTATTAACTTAAAAATGTTAAATTTTATCTTTACAAAACATCTGCTCACCCAAGTGGATTAAAATAATAAAAAAGTAAAAGAGAAAGCATTGCAGACGATCGCTTTACTCCACTTTTCAACATTCCTCTATTACGAAGCAATTCATTCTAAACATTAAAATAAACAAATTAAAAAACAAATCATTTATTATATTTGACCCAAAAAAATTAATCACATTTAAAATGTATACTTCATTTTCTAGTTCTTGAACCCTTTGTTTTAGAATACAGTTTTCTTCTTTTAATTGTTGGTTTACTTCAGTAATAGCAGAAACACGTGATTCAAGAGTTTTTATATGCTGAAAAATATGTTAGAAATATATAATCATTTAATTCAAATACTGTGAGAGGGTTAAATTACACTTACAACAATAATTTAAAATAACATTTTATATATGAGCTTTTTATAAAAATAAAAAAAAAGATACAGTAAAGTATAAATTTATAAAATACACACAATTAAATAAAATTTAATTAAAATAATGAAAACCATTTGCGTAAAAAAAATATTTTGTCTAATCCATATAAAAATAATAAGATTGAACCATATTTAAAAAAAAAAAAAAAAAAAAAAATCTGTCCTAAATTTTTTTCTACTAGAAAAACTTTTCAAGGAAAAAAATCTGTTGAATTTTTTTGACTTTTTTTTCCTATCAAATGAAATTTTTATTATCATCATAAAAAGTGTCTAGCACTCAATATGTTGCTCTGCGCATATTGAGTGCTAGACAAGTGAATTTAATAAAAAATAATAAAGTTATGAAATAATAAGTTATGAAAATATAATGAAATAATAAGTTATGAAATTTATGAAAATAATAAGTATATGAAATAATAAGTTATGAAAAAATAATGAAAAAATATTCTAAAATTTTCAAAAGTTGTTACAATTATGTTATAAAATTTATGCAATGATTAATTTGATACAATGCACAGTGGGTCAGGTGGTGAACTAAAGTAAAAAAAAATACATTCTCAAAAATTACACTATTATATACCATTTTATAGCTTAAACATTCAGCTTTTATAAAATGTATACATTTTTGTATAATTATCATGCTGTATTCTTCTAAGCTGTTGAATAAAAAACTTTTTTAAAATAAAATTCTTTTTTTGAATTTTCAAATATTTTTGCATTACTATTAAGCATAAAATAATTGTTTATTTTAAAACTTCTCTTTTTATCGCATAATTTAACAAAATTTAGTATTGTCTTTTAAATGAGCTATTGTAACACTATTTTGCACTTAAGTTATGTCAAAAAAAAATGATTTCAGACGACGACGTATTTTTGAAGTAGTTATTACAGTTGAAATTTCATTTATATAATCTAATACTTTTACGGTCCAAGGTGGTCCAGAAATTTGAGACTTGAAATTTGATTGTTCAATATGTATGTTATCAGTATAAATTTGGTTTATACTCCACGGATGTCTGCCTGATCGATATTAATGATTTTTACAAGTTAACTGATGTATCCTATTTTATGTGGCAAAAAACATTATATGTATTTTATTCTAAATGGTTTTGTAATAACTTGGTTTTAGTAAGTCTAGGTTAATGTTACAAACTTTTTCTAATATTAATACATCTTAAAATACCTATTTAAAAGACTTTGTAAGTGTAACTCAAGTTTTTATATATTTAAAACATGAAAAATATTGATATTTATTCATAATACAATATTGATACATATTCATAATACAAGAAAACTTGAAGTTAGCTAATCCTTATATTTTGGATGCAGTTGTAAATGGCACGAACTTAACTGCAAATAATAACTTATCTAATTTCATAAAGCATCTTTGACAAAGGTATATATGCAAATACTTTAAAATTTGTTTTGAAGAGAATAACAAACAATTGATACAAAATGAACTGATATCAGTTCAATTTCTAATTGATAATAAGAATATTCTTTTAACTGCCTCCATTGACAAAGATAACTCTGCTCTCATTCAACTGTAGTGTCTGGCAGACCCCAAGTGAACTATGATACTTTAAGTAATAAAACAAAGAAAAAAAGATTGGTGCCATTAGCTGTATCTTTTTCATCTTCTGAACTATTGTTTGCATGGGATTTTAGTTTGCGCCAAGATAGTAAAGAAAAAGAAGCTAAAACTGTTTCGCAATTACCAGTAAGTTTTAGTATGAAAAATAATTTTAAACAAAATATTTTGTATTATTATATGCACAAAACGGTTTAAGCTTTATGTACTTTTTTAAGCTAGTAACTATACAAAATGAACCATAGGCAGGCATTTTAGGTATCACGATCAACCAGATAAAAAACCCTTAGAACCACTTCATTTGTAGTATAATACTGTATGTTGTAACTATGGGAGTAATCTGATAACTTTAGTCCAGTTTATCTTCATTATGGTTAATAAAATATGTGGATACTAAGCAATTTAGAAATCCATACCAACCCAAAATTAAAACATAAAAATTTAAAAATGCCACCATTAATGTATATATTTTTTAAACTTTAATTTTTTTAAAACTACATTTTGTTTAAAAAATATTTAAAAATTATTATTTACACAAATAATGAACTTTGTAAATAAAAAAACATACTATTCCCGAAACTCTGAAAAAACTGACATAACCCAATATTTTGCATGAAACTAAAATCCTAATTTTTATTGAACTAAACTGTAATTAATTCAAATTGTAAAAACACTTAACTTCTTAATCGAAAATCATTTATTTACAAAACAAGCTGTGAAAAAAAAAATCTTTCTTTTAATTTGAAATTGTGTTATAATTCTAAATATAAAACAACGAAGTAAACTCTGCAATTTGAAACCTCTCTGTAGTCCTTATTAAAATTCTGTTGCTCCCCTAATATCTTTTTAACAAAAAAAAAAAATACAAAAAAAAAAAAAAAAAAAAAAAAAATACAAAAAAAAAAAAATTAAAACTTAAAACAATAAAAATTAAAACTTTTAATAAACTTTTAAAAACAAATTAAAAAAACAAGTTAAAATGAAAATTAAAAGTGCATCCAATAAACAATATACCTCTTTTTTTCGCTGACGTGATAAACATGCAGATTCTCGATTTTTTATCATTCTCATCTGTCTTTTAAAATCTTTTAACTAAAATTTTTATAGTAACTGTTGTCAAAACAAAAATAAAAAAATAAAACAGAGGAAACTTGTGTTCATTAAAACTATCAATCAAAAAATATATTGAGATGTTTGGGTCACATGTCACATCTATGTTTGGGTCAACTATCAATCAAAAAACATATTGAGATGTTTGGGTCACATGTCACATCTATGTTTGGGTCAACTATCAATCAAAAAACATAATGAGATCTATGTTTGGGTCACATGGTCCTATGGTTAGTTTTAATAAAATAAGTCATTACAATTTAAAATCTAAAAAAAAAAAACAAGATTTTTTGCTTCGATTTACTTTTTAAACAGACAGCATAGCAAGACTTATTTTAGTTAAGACTTTGGTATTGACAAAATTTTACTAAATTTAGTTTAAAAGCTAACCTGCTTCTCATATTGGTAACTATATCAGCCAAGAACCAAGAGGCCGTATGTGCATTTTTTGTGTTACCTAGAAAATCAACTTATAGATTTTAGTATGTAAGAACTTTCTGCCAGAAAGTCCTACTGATTATTTAAATATTTTCGATTATTTTTGAGACCAAATTTATTGATCCACTAGATGATGAACAGAAAAAACACAAAATGTAGACATGCAACATTTTGGTTCTCAGCTGACGACTGAAAGAGGACTAGTCAAATTCATTAAGTTTCAAATTTTATAATAAAAACTCAATAATAACTATATTCATTAGGGTGGGTTGAAAATAAAAAATATTGTGCCAATCCATGTATGAAACCAGAAGCAGTTGTAAAAAATAAAAATGCTTTACAGAAAGTACCCCATTTTTGGGTCCAAAGGTTTACATGCAATTACTATTTTGCATAACTAATTATATTATTGCGCTGAATTGTCTTAACTTTGTCTCAATTTAAATAAACTAATTTTATGCTAGCTTTTAGTATTTTGCAGAATCTGGAATGATCTGTATTTGTTTTGTTTTAGTTACAGAATATAAATTGATCTGATTATTTGAAATTATGGCTACAAGACAGCTGACAAAACATGTGATATTATATAGTGAAGCTGCGATTGGCCACAAAATGTTCAACCAACTAAACTTTAAGATACAAGGAGATTTTTACAACTAAAAAAATGATGTAACAAAGACAAATGCAAAATTGTTGCTCAAGATATTGTGGGACATGGCTTTAATTCCATTTTGCGTGTTGATGCTTAAATTACTACTGGAGTAGAATTGGGTTAATCAAAATCTAGTTATAGATATTACGCTGATTTCTAGAAGAGCTTGGATTCTTAGTTTGATATTGTCATGTAAATGCTTGATATTATAAAATGAATCTATTACCCAAATGACTGTTCCTGCAAGTGTCCTAGAGAATCCAAGTTCCACCGATTAAACATTTATTCTTACCATATTAAAGAAATTCTTGTTGTAAATTTATTGATGGTGTTGATATAGCAATAACGCAGACCTGCGATTGCCAATTGTATATTGCCACTTAGAACCCTACGGACAAACTTTGTGTGACCACACACTTCATAGTAAGCAACTACGGTGCGAACTAATTTGCCATTTAGAGGTCCCCCCTATGTATGGATGGTGCAAAGCATGTTTACCTGGCAACGTGGAACTTATTAAAAATTTTCAACCCACCCTAATAATCATGTAATGCTTAGAAAAAAATAAACCATTTTAATTACTTATTACGAATTAATTGAATACTATTCATTTTATCTTTTATTCAGCAATATTTTAAGAATGACTTTTTAACTGAAGTTAAAAAACTAATTTCCTGTAGAAATATTATTTCAAATAATATATTACTATTGTGACAATTGTCTTTTTTCATTCTTAACATTCAGTACTTTTGCTTTTATACATATGTATTGTGTTTTTTGATTTTTATTTACTTTAAGCTGAAAAAAAGCAAGCTTGAAAGCTTAAAAACAGTAACAAGAAGCTCAAAACTATGGATACAAAAATAAGAACCCCAGAACCTTGAAAATAAAAACTTGATCAGGAATGAACTTTAAAAAAAATCACGCTTAGATACTAACTTGTTTGTTTGAATATTAAAATGTTGGTGCACTTATCTCTACAAAAAAACTCGAGTTTATTTTTTATAAAATATTCAAATAACTAAACGCTAGTAAAGTTAAAATGTTAATTTTTTAAACTACTTTTAAAATTTAATCAATTAATTAAACTATTTTGTGACAATAAGAAACTTTTATCTTTTTTTTACTTACATTAATATAAATGCTTTTTAACAGTTAATAAACCTGTGACAAGTTGTTTTCATCTTTAGAAAAAGTCTACATTTAAAACTATGACATTTAAACAGTCACAAGTAGATATCTTTTCCATTAACTTTTGAGTTAGTTTTGAGTTTTTTTATTTATTTTTGTCTGAAGAAGTCCTTACAATCTTATCACGGAGTACCACGGATAAGCATTTAGTTGGAAATCACACATCTTTCCTAACCAATATTGCAAAACTTGCACTGAGGTAGCTTTTGAACCACGAATCCTTTGCTTCTGAGGCATGCACCACCACTAAGCCACAGCTGCTCGAAGTTATATAAACAAATATTTATTGAAAAATATCCTTTAACAATTTGAAGATAAACATTATTTTAAATCGAGTCAATTAATCAAAAGCAAATTCAGTAATCAAGCAATCAAACATTTCTCTATTGATCGATTGTTGTTTTTTGGTAAACTGAAAAAAATGGTGAGCAAGCTTTGAAAAAAAAAAAAAAATTCTACTCCTCCAAATACCAGAATAAAGCAATAAAACTTATTTCAGTTTTTTTTTCTCAAGACAAGTGTTAGTTTCATAAACGAACATTAAAAAGAAATTACATTAAAAGTTTTATGTAATTAAAACAAAAAAATTATTACTACTATTATTTATTATTTAAAAATTTAATTCTTAAATATTTATTTTGATAGTAATCTAGATACAGACAATTTTTTCTCAAAATTCTGTGAGACTCTTCAAGTTTTTCTTTAAAAAAATATACTGTTTAAAATATGTGCTTGGCATTTCCCATTTAGAGCTTCATTTTTTTAAATTAGTGTATGTATTTGCCAATAAGAAAACAATTTACAATTTTAATTATTTAAAAAAAAAAACTACATTATTGAGACTAGATGAAGACAAACTTAGTCTTATCACCAAGCCCTAAAGTCTTATCACCAAGCTCTAAAGTCAAAAAATTAATTCTCTTCAAGGCTTTAGAGCGGACTACTATAGTCAAAAAGCTACTAATTTTTTTTAACTTTATTTGCATCCCCCTCAACTTTAAAGTCTGAAATTCAGAAGAAAAAAAAGAGGGAGAGAGATAAAAAAAAGAAGAAAAAAAAAAAAGATAATAAAATGTTGTTATTTTTAATAAAAATTAAAAAAATAAATACTATAACTTTTTCAGAGAAAAACTTATAATAAATAACATTACCTCCATGTTAGAATTTGGATGTATCAGTGTGCTATTAAGCGTACTTTCATTTTGGCCAACAAAATTTCCATTTTCTAATTAAAAAAAACGTTTAATTTTAAGGGAACAAAATAAAAAAAGCTTGTAATGTGCTTTATTTATAAAATAAAAACTTAAAAGTAAGCACTAAAACTATTTTTAAAAAGATAATTTAAAGAAAAAAAAAATTTTATATACAATATTTTAAATTAATCTATATTCAATATTTAAAGTTTCCTGATTTATTGAAATCTGCAGCATATATATACAGGGCTCGAAATAATGAAAGGTCCATTTTTTGTTAGTGGTATGACCTATTCTTATGTGGAGGTCCACTTTTTGTTAGTAACATAAGCTGCAACGCATTTAAACAACAGTTTAAATTATGCCCTGTGAAAATTTGATGTTTGAATAAGTCAGGTGGAAACTTTAATAATTTGACATCTTTGCCTGATCAGGTCAGTTGTTTCATTAGCAAACAATGGGATTGGTAAAGAAATGATAACAAGATAAAGGTTACTTAAAACTGACATATGATTATTTCATTAGTCGTAATTTCTTTACTGTGGTAGGAACACAGTTATTTAATCAGCAAACTCAGAAAACCCACAACCTAAATATAGCAAGTAAATTCTTTAAAAAGTCCAAATTCATAAACTGGCAACTGGAAATTAATTTTTCAAGGTTTTGCAGAGAGATGAGAATGTTTTGAAGCATAGTGTATTGAATTACATGAACAAAATAAATAATAAATACATAAACAAAAAATGCCTAATAAAACCACCACAAAAAATAAATACTTCACACCAAGGTATGATAATAGAAAAAATAAAGATAAAATATTATCATTAATATTAATTTTATCACATTTGAACTTTTGAATTAAATAGAATTAAAACTTATAATCAATGTAATATAACTAATAATTACCAGTTTATAATATATTAGAATCTGATTCAAAACATCAACAAAAACTCAGTTGTAAAAGTTGATTTTAGAATTAGTTTCTTCATATTACAGTTGACTCTCGATATCTTAAACTCTCAGGGGACTGGGAAAAAAAGTTTGAGATATTGAGAGTTCGAGAGAGAATTTTAGCTCAAACATGTGCATAAGTAAGGACCGGAAACAAAGTTCGAGATACACAAAGGCTCAAGATATCGAGAGTAAACAGTATAACAATTTATAATTGATCTTACCAATTTTAAAAATTTTTGGTTTTATCATATTATTATGACATAACGGTTTATCTTTGGCTTTTGTACTTGTTGGGTTATATTTTAATTCCAATGAAGAGATATTGTTTGTCTGAATATGTTCATTTTCAGAAACTTGAGAAGCATTAGAACCTAAATTAATAATATTATCGGAAATTGTTGCCTGTGGCAATGAACAAAATGTTAAAGAAGTTCCTGTATCTGATATATTGGCTATTGAGGAAGTAAAAATTTTATTTGGAGATAATGGCTCTTTTTTTATATTAGCAGTGTCATGTTGATCAAGTTTATCCAAATCATCGTTTAGCCAGCAGTCAATATAATTATTTGTAAAACCAATGGAACAGTAATCTTCATTAGCCTGTTAAAAAAAAAAACTTTACTAAAGTAATATAATTATAATAATATAAACTACAATAAAGTAAAAGTAAAAACTTTTCTCAAAATAAAAATGAAATCCATAGTCAATTTTATAAGAATTATTTGATGAATAAAGTAATTTTAACATACAATTGTTTTTTAAGATTTTGAAACAAATGCTCACATAAAATTTTTAAAAAATCCATGAAAAACATGAAAAAATTACTCTTTCTGAACTAGAAGATGAAGGACTTTCACTGAAATTTCCAATATCACTGACATTGTCTTTAACTATAAAAAAAATATATATTTAAAATTGCTTTTATATCAACAGTAAAGTATTACAACAAAAAAATTTAATGCGGCCAACATGTGTCATTAAATAAAAGCCACACTAAATCCCATAAATTCAGTATGGCTGTAATTTAATGACAAATGTAACTCACTTCAAATTTTCTTGTCAAAAGCATAAAATATGGGCTGTGTGGTTACAGATTAAATTTTCTTGTCGGAAGCATAATTATGGGCTATGTGAGGCTACAGTATTTAGGTGGTAGCCACATGTGGCTATAGCACATACCATACAGTATTATAAATATTACAACTATACGTGGTCCATATCTGTGCCACACCATAAATCAATTGTGACTAAAAAATGACTCTTGTCAGGATGTTTTAAATTTAGCTACATTTTGTGTTTTTAAGCTACATTTTGTGAGAACTCTATAAATTAACAGCAAAAATAATTAACTTTAAAAAATGCAGGTATCATAAAAACATTATATAGTCAGTTTTTGCAATTAACTTTTTTTTTTAATTATATATTTTTTTATTAGTTCAACTTTAGTAAATACTTAAAAAAGTAAACACTTTGAAATGCGTTGAAAAGTAATTTTTAAACAACACAGGCTGTTTGCATTAAAGATGTTTGATGCAGACTGCCTTCATAAAAGATGTTTGAACAACGCTAAAAAAAAATTAAAAGATGTATATAATTATGTATATATATACACACACAACTATAAATGGGTGTTTAGATAACATGTCTGATGTTACATTAAAATAGCTTGATGTCAGGGGCTTCAGTACATACATCAACTAACTTATAGTCTGCTGTCGCAAAGGAGTGCCACTATATCAACTGAGAGTTTGTGCTGTGGCAGCAATCTTTTCTTTCATAGTTCTTAATTTTTTTCCTTCTTTTTCTGAAAAAGGCGTATGCTATAAAGATAAGCAAAACTAGTAAGCAACTGCTGATCTATATACTCTATAGTATATAATGTGTGCGTGTATATATATATATATATATTATATATATATATATATATATATATCAGGCCTTTTCTTTATAAAACAAAACAAACTAGTATATAAAAACCTTGTATATTTCTATTATCTCTAAATTGTTTAAAGTTCAAATATGGATTGTATTTTGAAGGACAAAAGATTTATTTTAAAAACTTTTAAATCTTGGGACTTTGCCGATGCTTTGCCGATGCGATGATCACAGAAAATAAGAAGACTTACGTTATTAAAATCAAATGTAAGTTATGTGATCTTCATCAAAATAAAATATATTATCCAAAAACAATGGTGCCGTAAGGGCAACTGGCCAACGGTTTATAAATAACACAAGTCATGTTAAAATATTTTAACATGTTACTATATTTTAATTAAGTTGATATATAATTGAAAATAAAAATATAGTTCAATAAATAAATTAAATTTGTTCTTAACAAAGATTACCTCATATTTGTTCTTTTTTTATTTTATAAAGTTAAATTGCTTACAAACGAAAAAAAAAAGAGTTTTGTAATTATACGTAGAATGAAAATACTTTTAAGTTTGTTTATAAGTTGAGGAACTTAATTTTTAATAAACAAATTTATTATAAACAGATACGATTCAAATTATTAAATATACTTAAATTATTTCAGTTGAGTATTTTTTTAAGTTTGCACAATTAAAGTTTTGCATAGAAGTATTTGTTTTTTTTTTGTTTGTTTTAAGAATAATTAACAAAAGAGTTTGCATAATTAAGACTTATATTTAATTTAACTTTTTTTTTTAATTTCCTAAAATTTAAAAAACAAGATTTAATTGTTAAAAACGATTTTTCTCTATAGCTCTGTTTCTTTGTGACTTGTTTAAAAAGTAAAATATTTTTACAGTAACATAAAAAATTTATGAATTAAATTCCTGGCGAACGCGTTCTAAACTATGTATCAAAAATATGCTCAAAGCAGACAAAACTTTTTTATATTTTTATAAAACGCAAGTTGAAACACTAAGCAAGATAAATTTAAAAAATATTTAAAAACCTAAATTTTTCTTTGCTAGTCATAACAAAACCGTTGTTTAAATAATTAACATGGGTTTGTGTTTATCAATGTTAATATTTTTTGTTTACTCTAGAAATTTTTAAAAATAAAAAAAATCAGTATTATTTTTTATTCAATAACGATTACAAACAATTATTCAAAAACAAACTTCAGAAATAATAATATTGAACTAAAATTAATAATAAAATAACAATTGAAAACATTACACAATTTTCATAATAAATTTACATTTAAAACGTTTATAGTTATTTGAGTTAATTGTTAAATTGAACTAGTTTGCGGTTATTCATTTATTGCGGTAGTTAAAACACTTAACGTCTATAAAAAAAAATAAAGATAATTTTATGACGTCAAAATTGCGTTAAGCTAATGCATTAAGCACTTTTTTATTTAAAACAAGGCCTGATATATATATATATATATATATATATGCATATATATATATATATATATATGCATATATATATATATATATATATATATATATATATATATATATATATATATGCATATATATATATATATATGCATATATATATATATATATATGCATATATATATATATATATATATATATATATATATATATATATATATATATATATATATATATATATGCATATATATATATATATATATATATATATATATATGCATATATATATATATATATACGCATATATATATGCATATATATATATATATATATATATGCATATATATATATATATATATATATATATATATATATATATATATATATATATATATATATATATATATATATATATATATATATATATATATATATATATATATATATATATATATATATATATATATATATATATATATATATATATATATAGATAGATAGATATAGATAGATAGATATAGATATATTTGATATATCTAAAAAGTTATATAATAGAAATATTTAATTGCTTGTTGTAACTATAAGTTACCTGTGTTTTTTTTATACAACTTTTTTTTTTAACTTTTTTTTTTTTTTTAATCTTTGCTTCCAACAAGGCTGCAAGCAACCACTATTAGAGTCAAAAGTTACTGGAAGAGAAAAGATAAAGATTGTAGAGCAAGATAACAATTGACTTATGACTTAAAAGATTGCAAATTATATGAATCAGGAAAGCAAGATAAAGGAAGCGAATTATAAAGAACTGATCTTTGAGGAAAAAACTTGAGTAAGAGCTTTTGGAGCACTTAGGAACAGTCACAGAAAAAGAATGAGGCTTAATTGAATGACAAGTAACACGAGAATGAATTTTAATAGATGGCACAAGAGACGCTAGCTCTATAGAGCAGTGCCCATTATAGTATTTGTAGAAAGAGAAAGAGAAGCAAAATTACGATAATGTGATAATGGTTGGAGGTTGGCTGCAAGAGCAGGCCCAACTATGTTTACAATGCGTTTTTGCACCTTGTCTAAAAGAGAAAGGGCATCATTAGAAGGTTCACCCCAGATATGGCAACAGTATTCCATGCAAAGCTGGATTTGAGATTTATAGAGATAGAGAATAGAATTTGAAGTAAGAAAGTGTCACGCTCGATAAAGGGATGTAACCTTAGTAGATGCTAATTTTGCAACGCATTTGATATATGATTTCCAAGAAAGATCGAAAGTAAGAGTTATTCCTAAAAGATGAAGGGTAGATGATCCATTGACTACATTACCGTTCATAAATATAGGAAGATCTAAACTATTGCAATAATGATTGGCTGAAAAAATTGAGTTTTATCTGAATTAAAGTTCACCAGCCACTGTGCCCCCTGAGTTACTATTTACAATGGTAATTCATAGTTACAACATGATTGATGTCATATTTTTGTTTATGTAAATAAATTTCATAGTTCAAGAAATTTTTTTAATATTTTTAGTTCAAGAAAAACAAAAAGCTGAAGAAATGGCTCCATAGATTGGTTGTGTATTTTCTTGCAATCATATACATGATTGTAGAATCTATCTGTTGAATTACAAGTTCTGCAACTGGAAATATGTTTATTTGTGTGATTGCTTAAATTGTTTGTTTTTCCAGTATAAGTAGATAGTTCATTACATAACAAACACTTTAGATAATAAATGACATATTTACTATACAAATGACTTTTAATGTTCCAAATAGTGTCATTGAATGTTTCAAACTTACCAACTTTTTGAAAATACAACTTTTACATTGACTGTTTTTGCATTTGAATAGTCTCATTTTAATGATAGATAATGCTGAATGAAATTTTGAGCACGTTATTTGAAAAAAACTTGTTGACCTATGAAAATTATTTACATAGCAAAAACATGACACTTTTAATTAATACTTTCTTTTATAATAACATTACAGTGGCAACTCATAGGTACAACACTGCAATTAAATATTTTAATTATACAAATTTTATATATATATTAAAATTGTGATAACATATTATACGATATATTAAAATCCTGATAACAATATTGGCAATAATACTACTGATAAAAATACTGAAAGGTTTCTAGTACTATTCACTATTTTCAGAAATAACCACGTGGTACCCTTTCAACTTGTTTCACAGTAAAAGAAAATCATTACAATTAAAAAATATTTAGGGTAGCCCTCAAGCATTAAAATTTAACTGATGTGCTATAAAATCCCTCTATTTGATTTTTATAATTTATTGCTTTTGATTCATTTGTTGAATGAAGTGCTCTAATGCAATAAAAAAGCATATATTTGTGTTATTATATTATATTTTCTCTGGGTAGTAAGTGACCAGGATTGAAATTTCACAGGGGTCAGGGCTGGGTTTGATAAAAAAAATACACCCTTCTCCAACGCATAATTTTTTTAAACATTAAATATAAAAAAACTTTTACTAACTCAACAATTGTTACATAACATAATACTGTTTTTTTAAACTCTTAAAATTAAATGCTTTTTTTAAAAAAGGAATCCAATTTTAGAAAAGATTCAGTTTTAAGAGAGAGAACGAGTAATAGTTAAACTGACAATCTCTTGGGACTATCTTTGAGCGGCTGTAGAACAGTGGTTAGCCTAGGTCTTCTTGGGGCACCTAAAACAAAAATAACAACAACAAAAAAACACAAAGTGTGTGAGTACTCACAGTCTTTAACCCCTTTAACCCTTTAACAGTCTTTAACCCCACAGTCTTTTAAAAGCCTACACTCTTTTTCATTTCTAGTAACTTTAAGAGTACTGCAAGGTTCTATCTTTGCTCCTGTATCTACAATAACAATCTTACTGACAATGTTACATCTAAAGTGGCTCTATTAAAAACCTAAACCAAAACTGTTATTGCTTAGCTTGTCATTTAGCAAAGTTGCATCTTTGTATCTGTCCTTCCATATTATAAAATTTTTTTATTCATCTAGTTTATTTCCTCGCATATCAACAAAATCTCATAACTCTCATCCATCTTCATGTTTTCCTGACTTATACAACCAACAACCTTTTAAGTCTTCAGTTAACCGTTCCCTTTCTCTTTAACCCTATACTTTGCTTTCTAGTAACTCATAACTTTTTTCTAGTAACTCATAACTTAATAGTGGCTGCTTGCAAACTTATCAGAAGTGAATTAGTTTTAAAAATATATAACTCTGTTAAATACAGAATTATTAAATTTACATTATATAAATTAAGCAACCATACATTTCAACAAGCTGGAAGCAGTTATAAAAAAACTTTAAAATCATTAAGCATTAAGAATAACTCTAGAACACAAGAAAAAAGAGGAGAAATAGCTTGACAATCTGTTGGACATTGCTTATTTGGATTCACCCACAATAACTAAAATACTAGAAGATATTATTTATCACAATGATTTAAATATAACAAGATAATACTTCTCATATCTCAGAAGCAGAAACGTTAACCAAATTCGATTGGAGCAACGGATAACATGGAAACAGAAAGAAGACAGTGTACAGTTTAGAGAAACAGGTGACAAAATAAAGTACTAATATAATCTTGATATTACAGGAAATGACAGAGTAATCACTAGCTTTGAAATTAATATGCTCCAGATGGAGGAAGACAAAAATTCACATACATTCACATCTTTTAACGCACTACAAATTTTAAAAGTACATGATATAATTAAAATTGAAAATTGTTTATTTATTCACAGCTGCCTAAACAAAAAGCTGCCTCCTATATTTAATAAATGGTTTACTCTAAGCAGTTCAGTCAGCTGTCAACTTACAAGAAATTCTTGTAGAGGTGCACTGAGCGTGCCAACATATAATACAAAATTATATGGTAAACATTCTTTTAAATACTCTGAATTAATAGACTGGAATCAAATTCAAAATAAATTAAAGTTATTCACTTTTAACAAAATTAAAAAATATGTCCTCAAAACCAAATTAAAATACTACTTGCTGCATAAAGATTAATTGAAACAACAGTAGTATAGCTGGTGATAAATTATATATCACCGTAAAAAATGGATAAGTTATTCATATGAATGTTAACTAATTTCAACCTTCTGTGAGTGTATTATTTATTTTATTTTTTGTTTTTGTTTTTTTGTTGTCTTTTTTGTTTTATTTTTCATGGTCGCTCTCCTCGGTTTAGCCTAGCTATATGAGAGTGAACCATCCATAATGTAGACTATATATATATTTTTTATAACTTATAACATTCTTATGTAAAACATCTATATTTCTGGTGAATATATTGTTTTTTGTTGTTTTGTTGTTCTAACGTTTTTAAATTCAGTGTTTATTTTATTTATAGTTATGAGTTTAATTTGTATATAAAACTTGTATATAAAGATTGTGTTTTATAATAATTTTTTGATAATAAAAAGTATTAATATTTGAGTTTTTCATCTTTCTTGTCTCAGCTAAACTCCTTTTTAGCGCTCTTTTTACAACCTTAACATATCTTTATTATTCCTAAGATGTTATTTTTTTATATAATAAATGATAAAAAAATATTGTTATTTTATAAAAAAATGAGGAAAAGCAATAACTAAAAGCCTCTCATCCAGCGACCTCTTAATCGCGATGTTAGATATATCTTTTGGTAAGTGTGCTTGTTTTTAGACAATACTTATAACTGAAAGTAAGGTATAAATTTATGATTCAATATTAAATTTTTTACATTATTTAAACGATACTTTACCCCAATCATCTTCATTTAAAAGATTATCTTCAAAGAACTTAATTTCAGAATTTGAATAAATAATCGAATTGCAGCTCATGGCAAACATTTTTACCTTCTAAATTGACGCAATAGATCAAAGGGATGTAGCGGGACGGAATTCATTCAGACAAAGCTAAAGCGAAACTAGAATTTTATTTTCCGACAGTATTGGGAATGGTGGGGAAGCGGGGAAAGGGGGAAAAGAAATTCTTTGTTTGTTTGTTATTTGAAAACTCTGAGTTTTCAGATTTGCAATTGTGCACTTAAGCAGATTCTTAATCTGTGTCAATGCAATCTGTACAATTGCAAGGTAGTTGCAACTTGGCTAACTGTAAGTCTTCACAAGTATTCTACGCCAAAAATTTTTAGCTTTTTCAAAAACAAATGATTATTGATTGTAAAAAAATATAGCCTTTCCAACCTTTTTAAAGAGTAAAGGTGACGATTGTGAATAGTAACGTAATGTAAAATATTAGTGTTTTTCAAAAATCGTTAGAGGCGTCTACATCCTAATAGCTGAAACCAAAACTTGTTCTCACTTAGCTTGTCATTTAGCAAAGTTGCATTCTTGTATCTGTCCCTCCATATTATAATTTTTTTTTATTCATCTAATTTATTTCCTTGCACATCAACAAAATCTCAAAACTCTCACGTTTTGATAGTGTTTTAACCAAGTAGCCACAGGACCTAAATAAGACGTCTTTTGAACGTTCAAAGATGTCCAAAACGTTTAAAAGACGTTCAAAAGACGTGTAACACGTTTTTACGTCCTGTGCCCACTGGGAAGTTATTTGATCACGTAGCCTTAATCTCATGTGCAAACATAATCTTTAAATAACGCGTAAATTCTTATTTTTGTGTTTACAATTTTTTTTAAATCCATGCAAACAAACTTTATTGTGATTTTTTTTATTGCGTTTGTAAAGTTTATTTTTTGAGGAAGGTAAGCAGAAACATTACCTCATTATGCTGTATACTTAGTTTATCGGTTAAAAGTTGCGTTTTTTTAAATTTAACGGCATGTAATTATAACTACCAAGCCGACATTTGGTCATAAAAAGATGTCTTTTGAACGTTCAAAAGACGTTTTTTTACTGCCTACCCAACCAGCATTTGGTTAAGACCAAATGCCGGCTGGGTAGGCAGTGCCCTAATGTGAAATACCAGGAAGGGAGTTAATGTGGTTATAGTATCCTACATTGATGAACTATAGTTAATATTCATCATTTACCAAATTGTTTAAAAAGTTATTTTGTTTATGAAAAACTAAAAAGTAATTAGATTGGAATGGATAAGAATAATAGAATAATAGAATGGATAAAAGTATTTATAAGGAGCTTGTAGAAGACTTAATTCCAGTTTTGTCATTGAATTGACCTTTATACTAGACGTGTAATATACACAACAAGCTCGTTTCGTTATTGATGCTTATATTAATCTTTTATTTTTATTTTATTTATTTTTTTTCATTTCTTTATTCGAAGCGTTAAGGCCATTTTCCACCAGACGTATTTTTCGCGCGAAGCAAATTTTTTCGTCAATAAGCGCAGAAATAACATTTCTTGCAATTAAAATTTACTGATCAAGCATCTCGCTTAATCAGCAAAATTACAAAAAAAACTTTCTTCATGACGTCATGAAGAAAGTTTTTTTTGCAATTTTGCTGATTATGCGAAAAAAAACTTTCTTCATGACAAATAAACTTTCTTTCAGTTTCAAATCTTTTATTTTCTCATTCTAAGAAGTTGATGTTTTATAAGAACCTGGTCAAAAAGATATGTTTTAAACATGAGATCTAATATAGTATTTAAAGAAACCTAGTAGCAGTGGCGGAACTTCAAAATTTGGGCCCCCCCGCAAAAGAATGTTTTTTTTGCGGAAAAGAGTTTTATAGTATAAATATTATTGAGAGTATAACTTTTTTTATATGAGGGCCTCCTATAGCTGGTAGGCCCCCCCCCCCCCGCAACGCAGGGTCCTGCGTCCAGTAGTTCCGCCACTGCCTAGTAGAATGCCTTCAGAGCCAAACGCAAAATGTAAATAAGTTTTTAAACACAATTTTTAGGCACGTTGTTTCAAATCTACCTATCGCAGAAGTTTACAGAAAAGTACTCACAATTGATGTGCGTTTTGCTATCATAAGTTTCAATAAGTATGTTAATGGTCTTGGGAATGTTTTTGATTGTTTGAATATTTTACGTAAAAGTTTTTTTTAAGAAAGTGTAAAAAATGCATTAGAATTAATCATTGAGATTTAATTTTATTGTTAAATAATCATTTTGTATTTTAAAAAGAAAGAGAAAGTAAGGATTGGCCTAAGAAAAAGTTATATAGACAAAAACGAACACATTGAAGGAGGTCAATTCTGCAATTCATAATCATTGATTTTCTTTATTTTATTTTTATAAATATTATCTGATTTTTCAATACTTTTTTTTAACAGTACAGAACTTTGTTGTTTTGGTTATATATTTATGCAATTTTTCACTAATACCATATGAAACTTTTTAAAATGTTCGTCACTTATATAGCTATAAAATGATACATATTTGTATTTATGAAACTTTGAATAAACGAGTAAAATTTTTAAAGCCACTAATTCTTATGAAAATAGCTATATCTTTCCAACATTTGATGATTTGAATGTGAAAAAGACATGAATTTGAATATTATTTAAATTTGTTATAAAACAATAGAGTAAATTTTAGAGTTTAACAGTCACTGTATGTTAAATAATTGTGTACACGCCTTAAGCCCCTTTTTGGGACCAAAACTGGATTTTTTATTTGAAAAAGTCTTTTTTTTTCCTGTTTTTCTTCCACCTATATCATAAAAAAATTTAATACTTACATTTTTAAGACAAAAGTTATCTAGTTGTATAGATGTAGCATAAAAAACAAATCCCACTTAACACGTAGTAATTGAATTTGCCGACTATATATCTAACGCTATAGGTCTGTTAAAAAATGAATTGAAAAGTAAAGTGAAAATGAAAAATAAAAACTTACTTTGGTTCAAAGGGTATCAGAATAATAAAAAACAATTTCTATAGAATGTTCTAAAAAGTACAATTTTATATCAGGTGCGGGGTTTTGAGGTACTGTAACACCGTTTTTATTTTGTTATTTTTGTTATTTGTTTATTTATTTAGTGGTTCCAATAATATTAAAAAATTTCATGTATTTAAATATACAAAAATGACAAGAGCAAGATATGTTTATTTATACACATTTTTCTACTGCACATAAACAACTTACATTCAATATGAAATCTGATAAAATTAATTTTTTTAGTTAATGATTTCAATCTTCTTTTTTTTTCTAACATATATTAAAGGACTTTTTTTACAACAATTAACACACAGTGTAAAGTTAATGCAATAAATAGTTCAAACATCTATAAAAAAATAACTTGTAAAAAAGAAATTTTTATACAAAACAAATTTTTATAATAAATTCAAAAAGACCAAGAAATACTCAATGGTTTGTTAGTGATAAACTTTTACTGAATTCGGATAAATTTAAGCATGCACTTTTACCATAAACTTGTAGCCCATGCATTTCAGGGCCGTCCCGAAGGAGAGAAGGGTGTAGGGAGTGCCCCCCTCCCCAAAGCTGTCATAGAAGGCACATTGAGCAAGTTTTGAACTATAGTTGGCAAATTGCAAATATTGAGGACCTTTTACATCTTGGATGTACATCAGAAAAATTTAGATTGTCTCAAGAAATTTGACAAGAATCCATACCAGTGTTCCTTCTGTACAACATAAACACGAAAAATGTAAATTGCTGAAAAATTATGTGATGATAAATGAAATAACTTCAAAAAGACATGAGTTGGGGTTTGTTAAACCTGTCTAACCAATGCTTCCTGGAATGGCTGTGAATGATTTGACTGATTTTCTTTTGTGAAAACTCTAAAGCATTTTTTACCATGTTAAATATAAACAGTAATTTTTTTAGGGAACAGGTTACAGAATAGAAAAAACCCGAAAGTTTTTTTGCTTTGAAAAATGGGACTTCTAATATGTATTAAACGATTCTGCTAAACAAGGAGTAAAGCTTTGTAGTGGCTTTGTGAGAATTGGTAAAAAAAAAAAAGAAAATACGTTCCAGAACATTATGTAAGTTGTAGAAAACAACAGAAATATGTTACGGAACCAAAAAAAAGTCAAACAAATCAGATAGTAAATTAAATTCTAACCGGATTGCCTATTTCTTCTAATTTTGATTTATTTTTTACATACATTAGATTTTCTTAAACTGTACACAGATTTAATTGTTAATATAATACCAACTTTTATGTCGAAATTTGAATTTTTTATTTTTTTAATTTAATTTAACATTTTTGACTTAACGTGATAAACGTACAATATATATTTGAAATATTTATAATTGAAAAACTTTAAATTTACTTTTAAATGGGATACTTTAATTTAAATCTGCTACCACTAAATATTGTCCAAACAAGCTCAAATTTGGACCAGTTCTTAGTTAGAAGTAATCTCCTCACTAGCAAAAGGCTCGTTTATTTCAAAATTTCAAAATTTTGAAGCGGCAGGTTAAAAATATTTATATATATTTATAAACAGGGCCGCCAAGAGAAGGGGGGGCAATTAAAGCAGTCGCAGTCTATGGGGCATCACATATGCTTTAAAAAATATTATTGTAATAATAAAAAATTTAATTAATAACATATATAACATAAGATTGGGCAGTTTTTGAGTATTAGCTTTGTTCTACTTTTAAACTTTGTTTACATTTTAAATAAGATAATTCGGTTTTCATTTTCCATTTGAACGCACCCGTTTCAATTGGCCTTTTTTTCCGTAATAAAGTAAAGAGTGATGAAAAGAATTTTTGTTTTCTTATTTTACGGTATATAACTTATTTTTGCTTAAACTTTGCATCCATATGGATACTTTGGAAGAAGTGTACTTGGTTCACAGGGTTAGTAGGTTCACGGAGGAGGTGGCATATCTTAGTTGACTTCATTTAAAAAACGGCTAAATTAAATCATTGTTTTATTCATACGTGAATCAAGTACACCTTCGCCAATACTTTTGTGCAAGTGTATGTTTTTGACTCGCCTGCATTTTGTTCCGACTATATTTTGACAACG